ATTTCGACCTCGCCGACACTGGTTACGTTACACCTGCAGAAGTCAACACCAACGAAGCAGAACGCATAGGGCCCAATTTCATACCTAACCCAGAAGCATGTGACGAAGCAGCTTATCCCGCGGATACAACACTCCCCCGCTACACACAGAGTGGCCTTCAGATACTTGGTCTCGTCACCGCGGTCCACGGCACGGAAACTCCTAAGGAGCCTGCCACAGTTCAGCAGGCTCTGGGGGGGGAGCATAAGGAAAAATGGCGTGAAGCCATGGACAAGGAACTGAAAGCACTACAGGAGCGCAACACCTGGAAAGTTGTTCCTATCGGCGTGGCACGCAACAAGACAATACTCACCGGGAAGTGGGTCTTCCGTGTGAAGACGAAAGCAGATGGCACCATTGACAAGTTCAAGGCACGCTGGGTCGTACGTGGCTTCGACCAAGAGCACGGACGCGATTTCACCGAGACATTTGCACCAGTTAGTCGACACACCTCACTACGGATTCTTCTCGCGATCGCCGCTATGAAGAAAAAGAAGCTGCGGCAAATCGACGTTGCCAATGCTTTTCTCTACGCACCTGTCGACGCAGAAATCTTCGTCGAACTTCCACATGGTTCCCATGGAGAACCTAACCAAGTCTGCCAGCTACTGAAGTCCTTGAACGGGATCAAACAGGCCCCGAGACTGTGGCAGCAGCACCTACACGCCCGACTCACTCGCATCGGATTCCGGCAACTACCGCACGACCAAGGAATGTACCGGCTCACGAAAGGCGACGACTACATTCTACTAATTGTCTACGTAGACGATCTGCTTTACATCGGGTCGTCCGACAACGTTACTACCTGGTTCGAAGGGGAGCTACAAAAGGACCTCACCCTCACGGTATCATCTACCGTCACGCAATACCTGGGTCTCAACATCCAAGAAGAAGAAGGCACGATCTATCTCAACGCCGCAAAATATGCCGACACCGTCGCTAAACGGTTCGTACTCACGCCAACTACCATCTCTACGCCATACCGCTACACGGCAGGAAATGACAAGGCAGAATCTGCTCCACTGAAACCCGCCGGCATACGCAACTACCAGTGAAAGCTGGGATGCCTTCTCTTCGCGGCCGTCACCCGCCGTCCAGACCTATCATATTCAGCAAGTCAACTCGCCACCTACCTCAAAAGGCCTGAAGACGAACACATGAAAGAGCTCGATCGCGCTCTACACTACCTCGTAAGCACTCCGACGATCGGCCTGATCTACTACAAAAACATAACTACAACGCCCAAGCTAATCGGCTACGTCGACGCCGACCACGTCGGAGACTCTGACAACAGGCGCTCGCGCACAGGCTACATCTACCGTCTCGAGCCTATCGGACCTATTTCGTGGCAGTCGAGCAAACAGGAACTAATCGCCCTCTCCTCAGTTGAAGCTGAATATATCGCACTCTGCTCAGCCACCAAGGAAGGACTGTATCTTTGCGAACTTCTGGAGGAAGCGAAGCTGGCCCAGTTACCCAGCTTCTCCCTATTTTGCGACAACCAGTCGGCAATTCGCATCGCCAACAAAAATGGATTCGCGAACAGGACGAAACATATCGCCCTGCGCTATTTCTTCGTAAAGGACGAGATGAAGAAGGGAAGACTTGAGCTGTCTTACTGCCCCACATCCGAGGTGGCAGCTGATTACTTGACCAAGAAGCTCGGAAAGCCGAAGTTCGAATATTGCATGCTGCTGACTGGACAGAGCCACGTCACCTGCAGCGACACTCCAGAAGCGAAGGGGAGTGTTGGAAACAAATGATTTATAGCGCCTCTGTCGTATCGACGCTGAGACACAAAACGGAACTAACTACAGCGAAGTATCACGCGAGTCAACTGTCGGAGGTTACGCGAAGGTCAAAGGTCCCCGACCTTTGACCTGACAAAATGTACAGTGCGACAGCAAGGATATATAACTGACTCGTTACAGAGCAGTTACCCGAGTCGGCACTGTATCGAACCGCAACAGCAAAAACAGTTAAAATAGAACCCTTTCATATTCCTTGTAATCATATAAAAGCTTGTATCCTTTTGTTATTATCAACTCACTTTGTTCTCACAAACCAGTACAAGGTGGTTCAACAAGTCTTTATTAAACACTTCCGCTAGTACATCATCCTACTCTTGAATTCTGTCCTGTAAAGATCCTAAGGGCCTTCTCAGCCCAACAATCTTCACTCCTCTCACAGTCTCTCCTCCTCTTCACTTGCCCTCTGTGACTGCCTCTAGCCTTGCTTATCATTGTGAACTATTGCTCTATGACTGCTTGCTGTGCTGATTATACCCCACTTTGACTATCGGGGTGTGTCAGAATGTGATGTTTGTGTAGCCTGCAGTGGGGTACTCTATAGCGAGTACAGCCCGAATTAGGGTTTGCTATATGTACTGAACTGCATGCTAGTGAAAACTCTCTTTCCTGTTTCTCGTTTCTGCCTAGCATTTCAACACGAGAAACAGGGTGTACTTGCTTGCTTGGGACTAGTTTGCAATCCCCGTCACCCACTCTTTGTTGGTACGCTTCGTTATTATATTTGTACCTTGTTTTCTCTGGATATAGAAGATTGTTTGTTCATTCCCATTTAGAATGACTAAAGTATTCGTAACGGCTGGAAACAGCTTTTGAAAACACGCGCTTCCGCGAACTGGTTTTGGTGATATCGTCCCCACCACCATGCGAGTTCGTGGGTCCTCCTCTGCTGCCAACCTGTCCCGCCTGCACCAATTCGTGTGTCTCCACGGTTTCGCACGGTTGGCATGCCTCCATCCACAAGGGCCGAGTCGCGCAGCCAAATCCCAAATTCAGAATTTGCTCCATGCAACCAGCTTCACCAACTTAGCCAAATTCCGAGTGCCAAACTTGCTATCTGGAGTGCTATAGGAGTTTCGAAAAAGGTTACTACCGATATCCTCTGCTCAATTACTATTGGAGTTTCGAAAAAGGTTTCAACCGATATCCTCTGCTCGTAGCAAGCTCCTACTACTTGACACCCATCCCTGATCTTCATTATTTAATAGAAACGACTGCATGTCCGCTGCGCCCCACGCACACAAGCAGCCCGCCATCATGGCGCTCCCGTCTCAACCCAAACGCGTTCGACACCGATACGGGCCCAACATCCGAAAGAAGCTCGACGCTTTGGGAAACCCCACGCCGACAACGGATTTTCCCGCTGAACCTTCCATATTCTCCACTATCGCCTCCTGGATTTCGCACCGCCTGCGACCCTCCTCCAGCGGCGCTGATACCAAGCATCGTGCCACAAATTCCAAGCCCTTGACGCCGTTTTCCAGACGGAGAGGTAGAACGAGCGCGCCTCACGGGGACGGAAGCAGCGATGCCGTGACTCTGCACTCCGTTGGCGACAGCGAGATGCACGGCGACGAAGGCGAAGACTACGACGGGGATGAGCGAAGCGAGTGCTCTTCGTGGACGATGCCACAGCATCCTGTCGCGTCGACTCCAGTAACTGAGCGTCGCCGGTCGAGCCGGCGAATGAGGAAGACGACGGCAGGAGCGACGACGAGCCGTCGGAATTCGCGGACCGCATCTGTGGGATATCCTGCTAAAGGTAGTAAGCTCTTCGCTTACCCTGCGGCTTCTGCCCGGGTGTACGACGAGTCGCTCCTGTCGGACGACGAATCGTTCGCGATTGGCGACCGTGACGGTAATCAGGTACCCGGCTCGCCAATGAGCACCGCTTCGTCTGACAGTGTTTCCTATGCTGGGAATTGATGGAACAGGCGAAATTGTCTGTTCACGAGCTTTTCAATTCGACAGTGTGTACAGCTGCAGAGTCAACGAGTAACACAACCTTGTCTGCAAGTGACGGAGCAAGAGGAGCATCACCTCGTGAAGACAAGCCCTCAAATTCTTTGTGTGCTTATTTTAGCCTTTTCTTGTTGTTTTGTCTACACTACTAAGTGTTAGAATGGACCAGCTGCTGCCTAATAGGTCATAATAGGCAATCATTTCCACATTGTCATTCAGTCCACTTGAATTGAGTGACACAATACCAACTCGACATTTTTCTTGCGAAAATACTGGATATACATAACCACATATATGGTAAATGTAGTCAGAGACCAACTGTTGTAGATATTGTCTTTGGGACTGTTGTACCATACTGTCTTTGCTTCGGTTATAGAGAACCACTGGTGTATAGCGAAGACGTGGCAGCCAGGTCAGTACCAGCATATTGACCAATAGCGAGCCGCACATATGGCATAAGCCACGTCCGTACCCCCCTCCAATAGTTGTGAAAGGTTCATTCGACTGCCAGCGTCAGTCCATCCGGATGCTGGAGGAATATCCCAGCAGAAATGGGTCATCAAGCCTGACGACCCATTGACGACTTGACGAATCCTCCAACTCCCCGTGTTTGAGGAAAGGTGTTGGAGGAATGAGCTGGCATGCTGACCGCGGGCAAAACAAACTAAAACCCACTCGGTCGGAAGGCATGCCATTCGGAGGCATCAACCCTAAAAATTTAGTGCGTGCGAACGGATTGTCGCAGTTCCAAAAGTTTCGCCAACAATTATCACCACCATGTCGCTCCAGAAGGGTAGGAACGGCGCCAAAGATAGTAGTGCGAGGCGTCCTAACTTGGACTGCATGAACTGATCGACAGGCATCTTACGGCTTTACGAGATCCATTGGCTCCCTCTAGTTCGTGCAGTGGCGCCCTCTGTTGTCACATCAGCTGCATTCGTAATGCTCGGCGAAACTGACGATCCAAGTGTACAAGCTGCTCACGGTCACAGCACTTCAGCTCGATCTGGTGTTCCTTCAGGTGTTTCATCAGGTGCCTCTTCAAGTGCCCAGCCATGACATGCAACCGTCCAAAACTTCCCGGCTAATCAACTCATAGAAAATTCTCAGGAAGGATCAGAAGTTTTTTATCAGAAGTATCACGTGTGTCGAGATTCCGATTCGTGCAATCAAGTACTCGACAATCCGTCAATGGCTTTTGACTCAAGTCAGACTTCGAACGCATGCAATCTATTGGTGGGCAATCCAACCGCCGCGTATAACTCGTGCCGCGCCGCCTCTGCTGATTTAGAAGCTTCTTCTTCCGCCGAACCGCCGTTTACCGAAGCTTCCATAGGAGCCTCCGCGCCGCTGCTTACCAAGCCTAGCTGGCTGGTCAAGGTCCGAGGCGCGCTCACCCCGCGCGAATGGATCACCGTCGGATGCCTCGCCGCCGCGATCTGCGCGCTGCACGTGATTGGCTGGGGCACGCTGGTCGTGTTTGTGGTGCCCGGGCATTACACCTTGCCGGGCGGGGGCGGCACGTTAGGCGTGGGTCTGGGAGTGACGGCGTATATGCTGGGCATGCGGCACGCGTTCGACGCCGATCACATTGCAGGTATGTACGAAGGACATTACGGGAACAAATCATAGGAGCGAACGAAATTGGAGGTGGGAACCAAAGGTGATTCTTCAGTCGACTGGAGAATCGCCTCATGTTGGTTGGGGATGCTGGGGACGGCGTTCATGCTGGGGATGCTGCATGCGTTCGACGCCAACCACATTGCAGGTAGGGAGGGGCGGCATCGTGCGTACCAAGGGCAACGCGGCATTGTGCGGCATGTACGGGCAACATTGCAGGTAGGGAGGAGCGGCATTGTGCGTACCAAGGGCAACGCGGCATTGTGCGGCATGTACGGGCAACATTGCAGGTAGGGAGGGGCGGCATTGTGCGTACCAAGGGCAACGCGGCATTGTGCGGCATGTACGAGCAACATTGCAGGTAGGGAGGAGCGGCATTGTGCGTACCAAGGGCAACGCGGCATTGTGCGGCATGTACGAGCAACATTGCAGGTAGGGAGGAGCGGCATTGTGCGTACCAAGGGCAACGCGGCATTGTGCGTACCAAGGGCAAGGCGGGTAGGAGCGGCATTGCAGGAAGAAAGGAGAATGCGGTCAAAGCAATGCCATTCGAATGCAACTTTGGTCTGAGATGGGAGTGATTGGGATCGGACACACGGGAGGCTGAGAGAGGGGCGAAATGTGGGCGAAATGGAAAAAGGATGGGGGTGGGGGGTGTGTGAGTGGGGAGTGCAGGTGCTTTTGAAAATCTTAAAAAAAACTCCAACGTAGTGGGGAAGAGAGGAGGACTCTGTCAGTGTTCTCTGGCTTTGCCTTCTCCTCCTCCTTCTCCCCCCGCCCACCCTTCTTCCACCCCCTCCCCTCCTCCCCCACCTCCGTCTCTCCCCGCCCACCCTTCTTCCACCTCTTCCCCTCCCTGCCCCTCTCTGCCCCGTCCCCCTGCCTTGCCAATCAGCAATCGACAACACGACGCGCAAGTTCCTAGCGGAGGGGAGGAGGACGCTGACAGTGGGGTTCTGGTTCGCGCTCGGCCACTCCTTTTTTTACCCCTCTTCCGCCCCCTGTCAACCCCCTTCCTCCTCCCCTCCTCCCCTCCCCCCCCCTTGCCCCTCTCTCCCTTGTCCCCTGCCTTGCCAATCAGCAATTGACAACACGACGCGCAAGTTCCTAGCAGAGGGGAGGAGGACGCTGACGGTGGGGTTCTGGTTTGCCCTCGGCCACTCCTCCGTGGTCTTCCTCGCTGCGCTCATCATTGCAGTGGGCTTTAAGGCCTTCCCAGGAGAGGTAAACATCGGGCTTTAAGGCCTTGTAGTGGGGTTCTGGTTCGCCCTCGGCCACTCCTCCGTGGTCTTCCTCGCTGCGCTCATCATTGCAGTGGGCTTTAAGGCCTTCCCAGGAGAGGTAAACATCGGGCTTTAAGGCCTTGTAGTGGGGTTCTGGTTCGCCCTCGGCCACTCCTCCGTGGTCTTCCTCGCTGCGCTCATCATTGCAGTGGGCTTTAAGGCCTTCCCAGGAGAGGTAAACATCGGGCTTTAAGGCCTTGTAGTGGGGTTCTGGTTCGCCCTCGGCCACTCCTCCGTGGTCTTCCTCGCTGCGCTCATCATTGCAGTGGGCTTTAAGGCCTTCCCAGGAGAGGTAAACATCGGGCTTTAAGGCCTTGTAGTGGGGTTCTGGTTCGCCCTCGGCCACTCCTCCGTGGTCTTCCTCGCTGCGCTCATCATTGCAGTGGGCTTTAAGGCCTTCCCAGGAGAGGTAAACATCGGGCTTTAAGGCCTTCTAGTGGGGTTCTGGTTCGCCCTCGGCCACTCCTCCGTGGTCTTCCTCACTGCGCTCATCATTGCAGTGGGCTTTAAGGCCTTTGCGGGACAGGTGAAAGATTGTATGTGGTTTTTCTCGCTGTCCTCATCATAGCAGCAGGCTTGGCCTTTGCGGGAGAGGTAATTGATGTGGTTTTGACTTTTGAGGCGCCTCAAAAGGTTGTCTTGCTGCCCTCGCCATTGCCGTGGGCTTTAAGGCCTTTGCTGGAGAGGTATACAACCGAGTCCCGGACCAACTATATGACCATCCTCGTTTTATTATAGTATATTTCATTCATAATTTATATGGACATATGTACAGTACAAATGTATATTTATGTATGTGTACCACATCTACACCCACCAGGTGGAATCGGAGGAGTCGCAGCTGCATGTGATTCTCGGCCTTGTGGGTGCGCTTGTCTCCAGCATCTTCCTGCTGCTTATAGGCGCCATCAACCTCCTCGTTTTAATTCACCTCGTTAAGGTGCGCACCTAGAGGTAATTAGCTCACCATATCTTATTTTTAACCCTCGTCCTGGTGCTTTTTGTCACAAACCGCCTCATTTTAGTGCGCCTCTTTAACCCCTCTTCACCCCATTCGACCCCTCCCAACCCCTGTCCACCGCTCTCCACGCCTCCAGGTTTTCCGTGCGATGCGCAAGGGCACAGCGAAAGACACAGACCTATCGGACCTAGCCCTGCAGGGGGGGATGTTCGGACGCTACCTGGGGTGGGTGGCAAGAAGGAGACCATTCTACCTGGCTCATCATCACCCTTTCACTTCCTCCCCACCCATCCTCACCCCTTACCACCACTCTCCACCGCTTCCCGCCGCTCTCCATGCAGGTGTTCCGTGCAATGTGCAAGGGCACAGCGAGAGACACAGACCTAGCGGACCTAGCCCTGCAGGGGGGGCTGTTCGGCCGCTGCCTGGGGCGGGTAGCAGCGCTGATAAAGCACCCGCCCCAGATGTGCCTGCTGGGGTTCCTGCATCATCACCCCTTCACTTCCCTCTCCATCCCTCCCCACCCCTCTCCACCGCTCTCCACGCCTCCAAGTTTTCCGTGCAACACGCAAGGGAACAGCGAGAGACACAGACCTAGAGGACCTGGCATTGCAGGGGGGGATGTTTGGCCGCTGTCAAGGCCGAATCGCAGCGCTCATAAAGCCCGCCCCAGATGTACCTGCTCCTGCTGGGGTTCCTCTTTGGGCTCGGCTTTGACACAGCCACGGCCTCCTTCCCTCCCACCCCTCTCCACCGCTCTCCACGCCTCCAGGTTTTCCGTGCCATGCGCAAGGGCACAGGTAGAGAGGAAGACCTAGCAGACCTGGCACTCCAGGGGGGGATGTTTGGGCGGTGCTTGGGCCGCATCGCAGCGTTCATAAAGCACTCACCCCAGATGTACCTGTTGGGGTTCCTCTTTGGGCTCGGCTTTGACACGACCATGGCCCACCCCTCCCCACCCCTCTCCACCCCTCTCCACCACTCCCGGCCGCTCTCCACGCCTCCAGGTGTTCCGTGCAACACGGAATGGCACGGCTAGAGAAGCAGACTTAGAGGACTTGACACTACAGGGGGGGATGTTCGGCCGCTGCCTGGGCCGCATCGCAGCGCTGATAAAGCACCCGCCCCAGATGTACCTGTTGGGGTTCCTCTTTGGGCTTGGCTTTGACACGGCCACGGAGGTCGCTCTGCTCTTCATGGCTGCTGGTGCTGCTTCCTCCGGCCTGCCCTGGTTCGCGATCCTCTGCCTTCCGGTCATCTTCGCTGCTGGTACGCGCCTGCCCTGCCCTGCCTGTGGGCTCTATCCCACTGCCCTGCCTTGTTTGTCTGTATCCCCCCCACTGCCCTGCCTTGTTTGTCTGTATCCCCCCCACTGCCCTGCCTTGTTTGTCTGTATCCCCCCCACTGCCCTGCCTTCATCACACGGCCACGGAGGTCGCTCTGCTCTTCATGGCTGCTGGTGCCGTCTCCTCCGGTCTCCCCTGGTTCGCCATCCTCTGGTCATATTCGCTGCTGGTACGCCTGTAGACCTCGTCGTAGTTGGGTACCTACAAGGTGTGCTGTGGGCGTGGATGGGTCATTCATTCATGAGCTTGGAACTGGTGCCGCCTACGAATATTCGCCTCTGCGTTATCCACCTCCCACCCCTCCACACTCCTCCGCATCCCCTCCCCTGCAGGCATGACCCTACTGAACACCATGACCCTACTGAACACCATGACCCTTCTGAACACCATGACCCTACTGAACACCATGACCCTACTGAACACCATGACCCTACTGAACACCATGACCCTACTGAACACCATGACCCTACTGAACACCATGACCCTACTGAACACCATGACCCTACTGAACACCATGACCCTACTGAACACCATGACCCTACTGAACGCCATGACCCTACTGAACACCATGACCCTACTGAACACCATGACCCTACTGAACACCATGACCCTACTGAACACCATGACCCTACTGAACACCATGACCCTACTGAACACCATGACCCTACTGAACACCATGACCCTACTGAACACCATGACCCTACTGAACACCATGACCCTACTGAACACCATGACCCTACTGAACGCCATGACCCTACTGAACGCCATGACCCTACTGAACACCATGACCCTACTGAACACCATGACCCTACTGAACACCATGACCCTACTGAACACCATGACCCTACTGAACACCATGACCCTACTGAACACCATGACCCTACTGAACACCATGACCCTACTGAACACCATGACCCTACTGAACACCATGACCCTACTGAACACCATGACCCTACTGAACACCATGACCCTACTGAACACCATGACCCTACTGAACACCATGACCCTACTGAACACCGTGACCCTACTGGACACCATGACCCTACTGGACACCATGACCCTACTGGACACCATGACCCTACCGAACACCGTGACCCTACCGAACACCATGACCCTACTGAACACCATGACCCTACCGAACACCGTGACCCTACCGAACACCATGACCCTACTGGACACCATGACCCTACTGGACACCATGACCCTACTGGACACCATGACCCTACTGGACACCATGACCCTACTGGACACCATGACCCTACTGGACACCATGACCCTACTGGACACCATGACCCTACTGGACACCATGACCCTACTGGACACCATGACCCTACTGGACACCATGACCCTACTGGACACCATGACCCTACTGGACACCATGACCCTACTGGACACCATGACCCTACTGGACACCATGACCCTACTGGACACCATGACCCTACTGGACACCATGACCCTACTGGACACCATGACCCTACTGGACACCATGACCCTACTAGACACCATAGATGGATCATTCATCAACTTCGCCCACAGCTGGGCCTTCTCATTCCCGCACATACTGACCCATGCATACTGACCCATGCAGACTGACCCATGCATACTGACCCTTGCATACTGACCCATGCATACTGACCCTTGCATACTGACCCATGCATACTGACCCATGCATACTGACCCATGCGTACTGACCCATGCAGACTGACCCTTGCATACTGACCCTTGCATACTGACCCATGCATACTGACCCATGCATACTGACCCATGCGTACTGACCCATGCAGACTGACCCTTGCATACTGACCCTTGCATACTGACCCATGCATACTGACCCATGCATACTGACCCATGCATTCTGACCCATGCATACCCTTTCCCTTCCTCCCGCACCACCTCCCTCCTCCTCTCCTCCTTTCGGCAGGCATGACCGTACTGGATACCATGACCCTACTGGACACCATAGACAGTTCATTCATCAACTTCGCCTATAGCTGGGCTGGGCCTTCTCCATCCCGCATGTTCTGAACCGTGCATTACCTCTCCCCACCTCTCCCCTTCCTCCTCTCCTCCCCTCCCAGGCATGACCCTACTAGACACCATAGACGGATCATTCATGAACTTTGCATACAGCTGGGCCTTCTCCTTTCCTTTGAGAAAGCTCTTCTTCAATATTGTCATCACGGGCTTGTCTGTTATGGTGGCGCTGCTTATAGGGGTAATAGAGCTTCTGCAGGTAAGCTTGAGCTGACTGTACTTTGGAACAACAGCAATGAGTCTCGGTGGCACTGCTTATAAAGGGGCTGGCTTCATCCCTTACCCCTTCCTCTTGTCTTTCATCCTCATCTTTCTCTTCGTGTCGTCCTTCTCTAATTGCTCCATTTCCTGCTCTCCTTGCTCCTCTCCTTCCCTTGTTGCTCTTGTCCTTCCTCCCATCCTTCCTCCAACTCAATTCCCAATCCCTCCTACTCTCCTTCAACTTCTGCTCAGTACCCCTTTTTCTCCTCTCTTCCTCTTTCCTTGTACCCTCGCTCCATCCATGATGGCAGCTGGTGATTGAGAAGGCAGGATGGGAGGGACAGCCATGGGACTCAATAGCGGGAATGGATCTCAACATTCTTGGATTCGTTATAGTGGGCCTCTTTTTCCTTACATGGATGGTTGCTCTTGCCGTTTGGCACTTGATGCAATATGAGAAATCACCTGACTTGTAACACTCACGGAGTACAGTCGCTTTATCGTCCGCTATTTCACCTTAGCATATCAAGGCTGTCAGCAGTACAGGCAGGAAATGTGTCAAGAATTATAAGATGGCTATTGTCGCTCTAGCAACATGTCATAATGGCTTCCAGTACCATATTGAAGAGAACTAAGATGGCTATTGTCGCTCTAGCAATAAATGTCATAATGGCATATTGAAGAGAACCATACCAATAATACCGTACCATATTGAAGAGAACTACGGTACACTGAATGGATATACAGTAACCTGATCTCGGTACGGGAATGGCACAGTGCTCGACTGCTATATTTCCAGAGGCGACTTTCACAAGTCTGAACTGTTTCAGAGTCTCATCCCATGCCATCCAAATCACGTCCATGCGGCTTTCGCAGAGAAATCATCTGCCGGGCCGAGGCAGGCAGGAGTGGGAAGGGGGGAGGACAGAGAGGGTTACCCTTGAGGAAAAGTGACGGAATTCTTAAAAGTGACTCTAACATGCAGTTGAAATGGCAGAGAAATCATCTGCCGGGCCGAGGAAGGCAGGAGTGGGAAGGGAAAAAGGGCAGAGAGGGTTATGGTACCGTGCTCTTGAGAATTTGCAACTTTTGCAAAAGCCTAAACTCATGAGCAGCACTTGGGCTGTCCTCGCGCTTTGCTGCTGCCACGCCCACAGCAGCAGCCGCCATGCATCCGGCACATCTAGCACTTAACGAATCCAATTGCTACCGGTAACCTGGGGAGAACTAGGCTCACTCACTCACCCACGGCAGGAGTATCTGCGTTCATCAGCAGGACTTGAGCCATCCTCACACTCTGCGGTCGCCACGCCCACAGCAGCAGCCGCCACGCGTCCTTGCAACCCCATGTAGCACTACTCAATCCAAGGGCTACCAGTAACTTGGGGAGCACCAGGCTCACTCACTCACCCACGGCAGGAGTATCGGCATTCATCAGCAGGACTTGAGCCGTCCTCACACTCTGCGGCCGCCACGCCCACAGCAGCAGCCGCCACGCGTCGGGCACGGCCCCGACCCGCCACCCCATCTCGCACCCGTCCGAAATGCTCGGCACACACCGCACCACGCGTAACCGCGTTACCACGTTCCGTAACCGCGGCGACAGCCAGTGCATGCGCGTGGTGTTGATCCAAGCGGAGGGGGAGGAGGGGAGGGATCGGCGGAGCGAGCGGCGGAAGCGATCGAACATGTGGAGGGCTGTGTGATCCGGGTCGGTGTGCCGAACGTACATCCAGGCTCGGAAGTACCGGACCGAACGGACGCAGGGGCGGGGAGGAGGTTCGGTGGCGGAGGATGAGGAGGAGAGTGTGAAGGGCGTTAGTAGTGTGCCTTTTGGTTGGGTTGCACTGGTGCTGTTTTTCTTGGCAGTTGAAGACAACGAGGAGGAGGAGGAGGAATTGGAGGAGGAAGAGAGGTTAGAAGCCGAAGCCGAAGCCGAAGCGGAAGCGGAAGAGGAAGAGTCCAAAGGTGGGAAGAAGCATTTTTCCTCCACAACCACAGACAACCCATCAAACAGACTCGATTCCAACACCGTTTTCCCCGCCCCTCCCGTCCTCTTACTCCTGTCCCGCCCCCCTCTCAACCCCGTTCCTTCCTCCACCCCTCCCTCACTCCCCTCCATCCACCACCCGTTCTCCTCCTCCCCCTTCCCCCCACCACCACCCAACCCCTCCCCACCTGCACCAGAAAACACCTGCATTTCCAATTCCACCAGCAGAAACGGATGGTATAGCCTCATTAAAAAGGGTAATTCCGGTGCGCGCCTTCCTGGATGCTTCTCGCCGTGCTTGACCACTCCGTGCCGAATCATGAACAGTTGTCCGTCCCGTAGCGATGCCGCCCGCCAGAGATCCTCCACCCGATTCACCCGCAGGCTCGGGTACTCCTCGGCTCGGCCGAACCACAGCTCCGGCTCTCCCCGAACCTCAGCCTCGGCAGCACCACCAGTACTACCATTCCCAGTGCTAGATAGAACCACTCCCTTCCCACCACCACCAGCACCACCGGTAGCAGTAGCAGCGGCAGCGGCGGCGGAGGCGACAGTTTTGGCATTTTCTGCCAAAGCATCTGGCAGCGTTGCCAGTCGGTCCACAAACGGAATGAACCGGGCGGCAACAGCCATCCAGGGAATCGGGATCTGACACAGCGTCCTGTCCCTGACGTGGCAGACGGCGGGCGGCGCGGGCGGCAGAGGTTGCCAGGCTGGCAGATTGCGCATCTGGAAGCGGTTGAAACCGACCAATGAGAAGAAGGCGAGCACGAGCTGAGCCTGCTCTGATTGGCTCTTGGGAATGAGAAAACGGGCGGTAGGAGTGGCGCTGCTGCTGCTGCTGGTGCTGCTGTAAAGGCTAGCACCCTTTCCACCTGCCTCGACTCCCCCTTTCCCTTCACTACCCTCCTCCCCACCACCACCACCACCACCACCAGCACCAGCAGCAGCAATACCTGAAGCACCTACACCGTTCACCTCCCACCCTTCGCCATCCCCCTCCTGGCCCTCTGTTGTCCACACGTGGCCCCTTAAAGTGGCGTCCACGAACCCTCTACACTGCTGCCCCGTTATAATCCCCCACTTGTGCCGCAGAAACACCTGATTGGCTGAACACACGTCAGCGCCGCTCTGCCGCGCAAAGTAGATCAAATCCCGCGCTCCCACGCTGGAAGACGGGTGGTGGTACACTACTATAGACTGCGGCACTAAGTAAGACTTGTAGTTAAAATACCGGAGATTCCCGAGGGTCCTCCACGCCTACCGGAGATTCCCGAGGGTCCAGCAGGCTCGGATCCCTGGTGCCTGCCACGTGGACGTCTTCTATTGGCTGAGGGTAGAGCTTCCCGTCGTTGCTATAGTCATCAAATAGCATGTCTGAGGCGAATGCTGCATGGGCTTTAAGGCCCTCTTGCTTCGCCACTGATCCACTGCCCATGCTGCTCCCCCCAGCACCACCACCACCACTAGCAGCAGCACCAGCAGCCACACCAGCAGCGGCAGCACCAGTGACCGCACCTGCAGTAGCACCGGCACCGAGCCTACCACGCAGATTCGTCGCACCACCATACGTCACTGCCCCTCTCCCCCTTCCCCCCGCCCCTCCCTCTGCGCCCGCCCCTCTGCTGAGCCCCCCTGCCCTGAGCTTCGCCCCCCCGCCCCCCGCATCCCCCCCCCACTCCCAAATAAACGGCAGGAAAATCACCCCTTCAGGATGCTTCTCAGCGAATCTGAACAGATGCTGCAGCCAGTTGGGTCGATACGGGAACACGTCAGAGAACACAAAGAGCGCGTACTTAGTGCGGATTAACTCAGACGATGCGTTTCGCATTAGGTACCCACTTGCATATTCATCCTCCATTTCCTTGACTAGTATTCTCCGCCCTCCCTCAACTTCCTCCCCCTTCCCCCGCCCCTTCCCCCTGCCCTTCCGCCTCCGCCTATTCCCTCCGCCACCATCCCCCCAAACCAGTTCAGGATCTGCAAACCCTAATCCGCCGCCCGCTGTTCCCCCCACGCCTGCACCTCCCCCTCCGCCGCCCCAGCCACCCCACATCCCACGTGCGCCCTCCGCTTGCCTGCGCCTGACGTGCGCGCGCGTGCGCGCGTCCATTGCGCCGGGGATCATGTAGATCACGGGGCAGGGGGGAGTGGTCGCAAGAATTGCGTCCAGCTGCGCGGCTGCTGTTCCGAAAGAGTGCTTTGCGCTGATCACTATAGTCACATCGCGAGCCAGCCGCTCGTTTAGAGCACGGTCCACGTCAGCATTCCCCTGTAAGCCCTGGTTCCCGGAGCCAATCAGAGACGCGGGCAAGGTTCTCGCGCTGGCGGCTCCTGATTGGTCCAGTTTTCCGCCATCCTCCCCCGCTACCACCCCTTCTCCCCCATCATACCCCAACCGCATCAGCCTCCGCCGTTCCGCCAGGCTCTCTCCCCCGCTGCTGCTCCCCGCGCTCCCCGCTCCGCCTCCGCCCTTCCCGCCACCGATCAGGCTTCCCCTGATCCCCTGATCGGGGGAAGACCACAGCAGCTGCTCCGCGGATTCTCCCAAATCCCGCCAGCGTGATTTGCGCATTGCCGCAACGAGCAGATCGTCGATTGCCGCCGCGGCTCGACTCGAATCCCCCCAAAAAGCCTTTCCCGCCGATTCCTCCGCGGATCCCCCCACGCTTCCACTGCTTCCGCGGCTGCTGCCGAACCTAATGGAGAATTCTCCAGCTGCCGAACCAAAACCTGAACCTCCTTCCCCGTTCCCGGTCGCGCCGCCATCTAATCTTATGTCGAGCACGGAGTACAGAAACACACACGCGACGCCGACCGCGAGGAACAGAAGAAGGCGGCTCGAGGAGAGCGCGGAGGAGAGGAACAGGCACATCCGGGGGAGGTAGCGTCTGGGGCGGGTCTTACTAGGGCTATGCAACGGATGATCTACGTGGGGGGACTGGCGGCGGTGCTGCTGATGGTAGTGTAGCTTCACGCTCGGCCGGCCGTCCATCGCTGCCGTTGGATCTTGAAGAGCGTTAAATCCGGCCGTCCATCGTGACGGAGGATTCGTGAGGGGAGTCAACCGAAGCCGTCCATTGTGATGGACGGACAGATGAAGTTGGTTAACGGAGAAGCATGATTGGTAGACAATAAGTTGCAATGTTTGTTAGAGAAACACCTGGATCGTCTAGGCACTTGGAAATTCAAAGCAATCGTGCTGGTTGCTGAAATCGCTTGTGCGATCGCGACGCGGCCGATGTGCCTCCTGTCCGACCACGATTGACTTCAGAGCAACGCGAAAACGACGAATTTGATGAGGTCGCGATGAACGAATCTAAAAGTAGGCGCGGTTCACAAAGGCAGCCAATCAAATCAATGCGCTGCCGCTACCTACTAATGCAGGAGCATCCTAAGATAAGTCAACTGACAATCTTGCGTCGTCACCTAATTATCATGAACCTACTGATCAAGATTGGCTGAAAGACGGCCCTGTTTGACCCTGTGGTTACCACACTCTCCCACCTGACCCCTCGCCTTTCGCTAACGACCAAAGTGCAGCTGCATTGTGCGAAGCGATCGGATGAATTTCGGCAGCGAATTGGCAGTCAAACTGCTTTGTCAATCGCCAAGATTGGGCTCACATCGAATCATGTAGGTCTCTGCGACGGATGTGGGTGTTACCATCTCGGTCGTACTGTCGCAGAACACGCAGTCAGCCAACCTCGTTCTGCTTTCGTGGTGGGGGGGATTGCTGCGATGCGGCTGTGCAGTCGCGGATTCAACAGGCGAAGTTCATCCACAGTAACGGAGAGTTGAAGCAACAGAACGAAGCGCAGGTGTCCAATTTACGCGTAGAGTGAATTGACCGTCACTTTGTTAGCATGCATCAGATACACTTTGAGCAGAGATGCTTGGACACTCAATCATGTCAATCAATTAACACTGTCAGTAAATGAGAGAGCATGTCAATCCTAACCTTGCAGGGTTGTACATCGATAACGCAAAAATCACACCTAATGCCTCCCCATCTTATTACAACCAGGGTGCACATTCAACGCGGTTCGGCTTGAGATGTTGGGAAGGGGGTTTGGAGAAAAACAGTGATTGGCTCACGAGGGGCGACAAAAAATTGATTCTGCTAGAGCTTCGGGCATTTCGTAGGTGGCGGGAGGGGGTGAAATGGCGGGAGTGGGTGAAACCGAATGGATGAAACAGATTGGCGGGAGGGGGGGAAACGAAATCGCGGGGGAGGGGGGAAACAAAATTGCGGGGGAGGGGGGAAACGAATTTCGACGGGGAGGGGGAAATGAAATTGCGGGGGCGTGGGGAAACGAAATTGCGGGGGAGGGGGGAAACGAATTTCGACTTGAAGGGGTTGAAAGCACACCTCGTAACCCACTCAGTCAAGGGATAACCTTTGATGCACATTCATCTAATGTGCACCCCGGTTTTAAAGCCCGAGTCTAGAATGGCAAGTGTTCAAGTTCAAGATTCTTGAACATGATTTCGTCAGTGAACAAGGTAACCCGCTTTTGTGTGGGGCTCTCTCGCGATCCACTGTGAAGGTGTTTGGAGCGCAGTAAAATGATTGGCCAAAAGCACAACAGCAAAACCACTCTAGACACTCGCCAGAACAAACAAGAACCGGGGCCACTCACTGTTCACACTTCCGGAAACTTGAAGCTTCAAGCTACCTTTCTAGACTCGTTGAGTAGTAGGCTCCGTAGCCCACAATATCGTTAGCTACCGATAACTACGCCGAGCACCCAGGATTTTGTAATGGGACTTCTGTCCGTTTGCATAGTTTAGGTCTCCACCGTCCCTCACGTAACGCCCATTTCATCCGATCTCTCACGGTACGCGCAAATATATCTCATACACCATCTAATACGTCGTACCCGCCGCACCCGCTTCTCCAAATCGCACTCGTAGGTCCCGTCTCGCTAGTTGCTCTCGTCGTACCCGCTCCCACCGTCGCCCTCGTCGCGTCTGTCCTAGTCGCCGCGCCCGTCACTCCCGTCCCGGTCGTGTCTTCCGTCCTTCCTCCAGTCTCCCCCGTCCATGCCGTCGCCCAGCACCCTCCGTCCCTTCCGTCGCGCGCTTCGCTTCCGTCCCGCATTCGCTCCTGCCGTAGCGCGTGTCCCTCCCGTGCCTCCCTTCCCTCTCCGCCGCTCGTCATCCGTCCCTCATTCGCATCGCTCACTCGATTCGTCGCGCACTCCCCCCGTCGCACTCCCTGCCTGGACCGCATCCTTTCAGTTCAATGGCTCTGCCATCGGTTCCTCGTTGCGCTTCTCCGCGTCTTCCGCCACCCACGCTTCCGCCTGCGCCACTATGCTGGCGGACGACCTAATATGCACGCAGGGAATACGCGCGCAGCAGCGGCGGAAGCCCTTGCGCTCGCGCTCGCAGAGCGCTGCCGAGGAAGGACACGGGGAAAAGGGAGGGTGAGACAATGGGAAAAACGGAAGGGAGCAAGAGCGCGCTCGCAGGCCGTTGCCAAGGCAGCCGCCGAGTTGTCGCTATCTGAGCTGGCGAGCAGCATGGTGGTGTGGTAGACGCTCCAGAATCCGCCTTCTCCTTTCCCTCTCAGCCCCTCTCCTCCTTTCCCTCTCAGCCCCTCTCCTCCTTTCTCCCTCAGCCCCTCTCCTCCTTTCCCTCTCAGCCCCTCTCCTCCTTTCCCCCTCAGCCCCTCTCCAAGTGCAGGAAGCAGAGCAGTGCTGGAGCGGGGGCTTTGCTCGCTGCATGCAGGTGCGCCTCAACTTCCCTGATCACCGTCCTGCCTCCACTCTCACCGTCCTGCCCTCCCCCCTCACCACCCCGCTACCAGGTCGGCGCTGATCGACCTCTTTGCTGGCAGTAGTGGCGGTGGAGGTGTGGCAGGAGGGAACGGCAGCAGCAGTGGCATGGGGAGTGGGTGGAGCAGCAGTAGCATTCCCGCGATGCCTCTCCCACGCCTCCTCAGGGTTGTGCCATGGGGTGGGGTGGGTGCCATGGGGTGGGCACTCCCGGGTGGGGTGGGCGGTCCCGGGTGGGGTGGGCGGCCCCAGATGTGCAGGTAAGGGTTATCCGCTGCAAGGGCCTCCCTGCCTTCCCGCCCCTCTGCACCCCCCCATTCCACCCCATCCTCCTGCCACGCGCCTCACCCCATGCACGCCACCTCTTCCCGTCTCCCTTGTCCTGCCCTCCTTTTTTCCCCTAGTCCCTCCCTCACTATCTCCTTGTCCTTCCCTCATGTTTCTCCGTCTTCCTTATCCCATTTCTGCCCATCTCCACCCGCTCTTTCATCCCATCACCCTCCCCTCCCTCTCCCGTACGCGCTTCTCCCCACTCTCACACGCGCTGCTGCCCCTTCCGTACGCGCTTCTCCCCACTCTCACACGCGCTGCTGCCCCTTCCCTCCGCGCTGCTTCCCCACTTCCCCTCCCACTCACCGTTTCACCCATTCCCTTGCACCTACAGCCCTTCTCCTCCTTTCGCTCGCTTATGATTTCCACCCTTCCGTTTCTGCCCGCTTTTCTCCTTTCCTCTGTTCTCATTCCCACCATTCCTCTCCTCCTTTTCCTGCAAGCCTAATGTGGCAAAGAAATCACCTCATTCTCCACTCTCGTACACTCTCCAATCTCTCATCACCTCTCGCTCTACGCTGCTTCCCCACTTCCCCTCTCACATACACCCACCCAGACACCCCTCTCCACCCCACCCCCCCCCCCCCCCCCCCCACCCCGCCCCATCCCCCCCCCCCCCCCCCCCCTCCGCTTCCCCTCACCCTCCTCCCTTTGCTCCAAACCCCCTTCCTCGCCATTTCATTTCCCACTTCCCTGGTGGCAGTTGGAACGGCAGCGCAGGGGGACGCAGCGAGCAACACACGTGCTCCTCTCACCCCACCTGCCCACACTCATCCTCCTCTTCCCCCCCCCCCCCCCCCCTTCGTCGCCATCTCCTCCCTCCTCTCCCTCCTCTTCTCATCACTCGTTTTTCCCCTCCCCTCTGATCTCGGCCCTTATTCCACACCCCTCCCCTTCCTTGTCCTCTCGCCCCTTCCCTTCCTTGTCCTCTTCTCCCTTGGCGTCTCTCTCCGCCCCACTCCTCTCTTCCTCTCACTCACTCTCTTCCCCACCCTCTTTCCTTCTTGCTACCCGTGTCCGCTTGCTTGTTTCACACTCCTGGGTTTTCTCAAATTGGGTCCCTGATTTGTGCCTGCAGCACCACCACTCACCTTTCGTGGTTGTGAACCGGACGAGTGGTAATTGGGACGAGGTGGATTGGACAAATTTATTTAGGAAAAATTGGTCATGTCCTTGGTTGCAGTTATTGGTACTAGTATTGATTCGCGGAACTGTTTCGTAATGAACAAAAGTGCAGGTCGTTTACAATTACCCACACGTAAATAGTATTACGGTACACGGTGATGCCAATTTTGAGTTGATACCAAATATGTACAAGCTTTCACATAAGTTGTATATTTTGTAAAGCATTTTGTAACACCCTTGAGAGTCACTCACACAACACAGTTCCGAAGTTCAGATGCATCCACCCATGTGGCAGTCGTCAAGATTCTTGAACTCGAAAGCAGTCAAACAGTAAGCTGTCCGATGGGCAACAAACTCATCACCCTTCGCCACCCTTGTTAGGCGAAGTTTGCCTTCGCCAACATTCGCCAACATTCTTTCAACTTCAGTATTTATGAAAATTTGCCATTCTAGACTTGGGCTTTAAGATCCTGAGCGGTCCACCCAATTATCCCAAACCCTCGAGTCGGGTTGAGAGGGGGGCTTGCGGGTGGAGTGGAGAACGGGCTACGATTGGCCTGATGCTGCTGCTGGAAATGAATGCCCGTGTTGTTGCCCATACTTGGCGGTTGATGTGCGTATGTGCCGACGTTGCCAGTGCTTGGCTGCTGATGGTGGTTGTAAACGTTGGTGCCCATGCTCTGGCTGAGGGGAGGGCCGGCTTGGTTGCCTGCTGCTGCATTCATTGGCCGCCCCCGTGGCTGGCGTGTTGACCTGCAAGCACATACATACACACGTGCATATCCACATAAGCACATGGCTGCTCAGGCTAGCCTTAACCATGGAACCAATGATATACTACATCGGGTGATGCAGTGTAGCGAGCACGCAGAAATTCGGAACGGCATGAACACCGGCACTTTGCAATCAGTTCGATTGCACTCAGCTCAAAAGCAGGAGGCTATGCAGCCTAGACTTACATGGAGAGGCAAGACTCGTTGGAGGATATGCTGCCGTTCCTCAGCTTGGACAAGTTCAAGTCTTGCTGCAACACAAGGGGACACACGCGCACACGATGAACAAACAAATGTAAATAAATTAACGTTTGTTTCCACATTACTATTCCGCATACCCTGCACCACGTCCCCCACCCCCCCACTTCCACCGATACAATCACCCTCGTATTGGTTGAAATGCACCTGTCCTCCCCCTTCCCTCCCGCACGTTCACCAACACAATCACCAGCGCACCTCAGAGCGCATGCTGGAGGTGCGGCTGCAGGAGCGGCTCTGAGAGCTGCCCGTGCCGCTCACTGGTACAATCACCCTCATAACTAAATTTGCTCATATGCTCTCACAATGCACCCCGCCCCTCCCTCCCCCCGCGCACACCCAACATACCTCAGATCGCATGCTGGAGGTGCGGCTGCAGGAGCGGCTCTGAGAGCTGCCCGTGCCGCTCACAATGCTCCCAGCCGCCGCTGCAATGGCTGCTGCAGTCGCCGCATTCATGTTCGTCTGGCTGACGTGTACCCCACTGCCCTGCATCCCACCGTTGCCAACCGCACTGAATCCCCCCATTCCCATTCCCACCGTTCCCACACCTCCTCCCATGCTGCTGTTCATGCCATGCAGCCCGCCACCAGCACCTGCCGAACCTCCCCTGGAGGCTACCGAGCCTGCTCGGGACGCCGAGCCTGCAGCACTGGACGAACCAGCCAAGGAGGAGCCACTGGTGGTGCTGGTGGCTGGACCATTGTGCTGATTGCTATTTCCAGCAATACTACTATTTAAAACATTGCCGGTGCTGCTGTTCTGCACATGATGCTGCTGCTGCTGGAAGCTCTGGCGAGCTATTTTCCCATCTGCGCCTTTGCTTGGGCCGACAAAGAAAGCTTGTCCAACAGCCGCAGAGACAGCACTGGCACCAGCACCAGAGCCAGCTGTAGCACTGCCAGCAGCACTGTTGCGTGTGGGGGTGGTGGGGCGAGACCCTCCTCCTCGTGCTCCTGCTGACCCCACCACGGCCTGCCCTGCTGCTGCTGCTGACGGCGTTGATGGCACTGCTGCTGCACTGCTCTTCCCAGCGGACGCAGCAGCAGCAGCAGCAGCACGTTTCTGTCTCCTCAGCGCCTGCTGCTGCAGCTGGTGTTGCTTGAGTTGCTGGTAGAACTGCTGCTGCAGGTAGTGCGGGCTCTTCTTCATCTGTGCCTCCATGTGCGCCTGCAACCGCTCCTGTGCCCCTGCCTCCTTCTCCCCTTCCCCCCCCTCCTCTTTCCCCTTCTCCTTCTCCTTCCCCTTCAGCGCGCCTTGACCTTGTGCCTTTGCCACCGCCCCCTGCCCCAGTGTTTTCTGCGCCCCCGCCTGCCCCTGCGCCTGCTTCACGGCTGTGCTTTTGGCAGCAGCAGCGGGGCTCTTGAGGCTGCCTGGCCGCTGCACCAGCACCTGGCTGGGTCTGCCTTGCCCTGCCTTCTGACCTGCCTTCACCTGCAGCTGCTGCCCTGGCTTCCTGTGCTGCTGCTGCTGCTGCTGCTGTGAGCGTGGGGATTTCAGCTGCTGCTGTTGCGCCCGGGGGGATTTGAGCTGCTGCTGGTGCTGCTGCCGTTGAATGACGTGGCGGATGGGGATTGGATTGGGGGAGGTGGTAGCGGGGGAGATGGGGCTCATGGGGGAGGATGGGGAGGGGCGAGTGGGGGAGAGCGGGGAGAGAGGGGAGAGGGGGGTGCCACGTGACCCGATCCCTCTGGTCGGGGAGAGACGAGGAGTGGTTGGATTGGAGGAGTGAGGAGCAGTAGCACCAGCATCACCACCAGCATCGGCACCAGCGGCTGCAGAACCAGCATCGGCAGCAGCACCAGTAGCAGCAGCGCCAGGCATGGCTACATGCGGAGGGGGAAGCATTTCCCCCGACATCTGCAGGGCGTTTTTCCCAGACCCGCCTGCTTCGGAACGAAGGGTACCACGGGCGGACGAGGGCGACGGCGGGCGCTGCAGGGGGGTATTATGCACAGCGGAACGCGTGGGATGCGAGGGATGCGGAGCACCTGGGGAGGGCAGCGAGGGCAGGAGGTGGAGGGAGTTATGAACGGACGCGCAGGGGGAGGGGATGGCGGAGGAGAGCAGCGCACTGGACCTCTCCTCTGAGATAGCGTCCAGAGCCATGCCGGGTGGTAACCGGCCTGTAACCGCTGCGTAGTTGAGCGCACGGATGATTGGATCAATCTTGCTGGGCGAGGAGGAGGAGGGTGCGCCGTTGTTGCCACCGCTGCTGCCACCACGCCAGGTGTTGGGAGTGTTGGGAGTGTCTGGGGTGTTTGGTGTGTTTGGGGAACCGCAGTTGCTGCCTGGGCTGCCGCTGCTCCCGGTTCTTCGAGGGCTGTTGAAGGCTTTTGGGGCGGTTCTGGGGCTGGCCAAGGGGCTGACAGGGGTGGAGAATGGTGCTCTGCTGTGGGGTCCGATGGGGGAGGTGGTTCCGTTGGTGGGTCGGAGGGTGGGGCTGGTGGGTTTGAGGAGGGTGGCAGGGTCGAAGGAGGATGGGATGGGCAGAGGGGGAGGGCTGCTGTGGCCACTCCACCAGTTGGAATGGTGCCCTCCGCCCACCGCTGCTGCCGCTGCTGCTGCTGCTGACGCTGACGCTGCTGCTGATGCTGATGTCGCAGATCCTCCCTCCTTGGGTCTTCCTGTCTTTCCCAGAATCCCACCACCATGCCCTCCATAAACAGAAGCTATCGCAGCACTGGCAGCACTAGCAGCAGCAGCACTAGAAGCACCCGCACTGCCCACATTAGCATGCGCTGACGCTTCCCCTCTTTCTCTCCCACCTCCGTCCTCGCTTCCCTCCCTCACCTCCTTCCTCTTACCACCACCTCCGCTGCTATCACACGAAACCTCGCTCCTATGCCCCTCTCCTGGGGGGTTCTCTACCGCACTGCCATCATGGTTCCATTCCCTCCTTCCCCTTCCCCGCCCCGCTCCCCCACCGTCCATACCCTGACTCAAATTCTCCCAAGGCTCTGCGCTTTGCTTCTGCCAGCCGTCAATGCCAACAGCACCATCTGACATAGTCCTTGCAGGGCCCTTTTTCCCTGCACCCGCGCCCAGGGAAAGCTCTTGTTGCTGCTGGTGATGATGATGATTCCGTGTGTTACCGCTGCCGGTAATGCTCTTTTTAGCCCTCTGAAACAGCCTCTGGAACATGCTCTGCTTGCTGTGCTGCTGCTGCTGCTCGTGCTGCTCATGCTTGTGCTTGTTGCGGGTGTGACTGTGGCCGCCCTCGTTAAATTCACCATGGCTGTAGAAGCGCCTGTGGCTGCTGCTGCTGTTCTCAGTCGTATCACCTCCATTATAGTCACAGGCGCCGCCTAGAGTCACCAGCATTGCGTCACCCACGTCAGCAGACACAGAGCGGCGAAGCCTGCTGCTGTTGCTGACCATGGCAGCGTCAGTCACAACTTTCTCTTGCCCATTCCCAATTTGCCGCTGCTGCTGCGCCTGCCATTCCTGCTGCTGCTGCTGCTGGAGTTGCTGTTCCATCCTGTACGGCATAAGCATGCCTTCCCCGCGCCTCTCCCTCTCCATCTCTTCCGCACCCTTCCCCCGCAACACGTTCTGCCGCTGAAGCGACGGGCCCTCACCTTCCCCCTTCCCTTCCGCCGCATGGCCGCGAGATGCCTCCAACGCAGCGGCGAGAGGCGTTGCGCTGGGGTTCCGCCTTCCCCCCAGACTAGCGCTGCGACACAGGGACTCCCGCGATCCCCGCACATCCGCCCCCTCTTCTCCGCCTTCTCCGCCTTCCCCGCCTCCTCCGCCCGCAGCCGCCCGGCAGCTGCTTCCGAACGACGCCGATCGGCGCAACGCGCCCCCTCCTCCGCCGCCCCCCTTCACGCCCTCCATCTCAATTTCCTCATCGATATCATCGCCAAAGATATTATCCCCCGTCTCCACCGTCTCCGCGCGCCTCATGGGTAGATTACCCTCTTCATTCTCCTCCTCTTCTCCTTCCGCTGCCCCTCCCCCGCCTGTTCCAGCGCTCCGCCTTCCGCCGCCGCCGCCGCTGCTGCTGCTGCCGGCACTGCGGTCGCTGCGCTGCCGTGCGAGGGGCACGGAGGGGCCGTCGTCGTCTCGGAGCTCAGTGAACGTGTCGTCAACCTCCCCCTCCCCTTCCTCCCCCTCTCCCTCCTCGCCCTTCTCCTCCTCCCCCTCCTCCCCCTTCTCCGCCGCCGGCGCCTCGCACTCTTCCTCCTCCTCCTCTTCCTTCCCTTGCTTTGGCTGTTCCTCCGTCTTTTCGCCCCTCTCCGCGCAGCCCTCCTCTTCCGCGCGCTCTCCGTCTTGCTGCTGCTTCTCCTCTTCCTCCTCCGCCTCACTGTGTTTCTTGCCACGCGTCACATCCTCATTGGCAGCAACGCCTGCCGCCGGACTCTCTAAACCAGACCCCGCAGATTTATTCGAACCTGCCCGCCCTCTCAGGGCCGTTCCAGAGCTTCCCGGGCTGCCCGAAGGAAAATCCAGCGGACGCCGGGACATGGGGCTAGTCGAGGTCTGTCGGGCCGTTTGGGGAGATCTTGGCGTTCCTAATACACCGATACGCTCGTTCCTATCGAGAGTACCGCCTACACCAGCCCTGTGCTTATCCGAGACGCTCCTGGAAAGTCGTCCCCTCGTCACGCTGTTTCCGCCACTAGGGGAAGCAGCGCGAGGAGAAGACGCGCGGAAGGAGGTCGTGCGGGGGACGGTACCTCTGCTGCTGTTCCCCCCAGGGGAAGCAGCGCGCGGAGAAGCAGCGCGGGGAGAGGCGGCAGCGCGGTTGGTGCCGGAAGAAGAGCCAAAACCTGCTCCGCTACTGCTGCTCCGCCGCAACACTGGACTTCCGCTGCGCCCCCTTGTTGCGCCTGCCGCCTTCCCTCTGCTGCCCGCGCTGCTGGCGCGCGCAAGAGCACCAGCGGCACCAGCGGCAGCGGCGGCAGCAACAGAAGTCTTGGTCTTATCACCAGACGCAGTACCAGCGGTTTTGGCTGCACAGGCGGACGGGGACGCGGCGGTGTATCTCCTTGCGCCTGTCTCTCTCTTCTCTCTCGCTTCCACCAGCGCCATCAGCTGTTCTATCTCCCCATCCCCTCCTTCTTCACTCCCCTTCTTTCCAGCTTGCCTCTCGTGCTTCTCATTGTTATCTTTCTTTCCGTCCCTCCTTCCTTCGTCATCATCAGACGCATTGGCCTCCATGCTTCCCTCCCCGGACTCGCCTCCGCTTTCCTCCGCTTTCCCCTCTTCCCCCTCCACCTCTTCCCCCTCACGTCCACCCACGCTTCCCACTCTTCCCCATGATCTTCCGCTTCCCCATGACCTTCCGCCAACGCTCTTCTCCCCCGCAATCTCCGCTCCGCCTCCGCCTTCCGCCGTCCCCGAATTCCCCAGCCCGCTCTGGCTCTTTAGATCCTCGCCGTCCATTGAATCCCAAGGCAGCGGGATGCCCTTGATTGGCGGCGGCCGTTTCTTATCCAGGCTCGGCCGACCCTGGTAGACCGGAGGTCGGCTCGGCGTCGTAGGCTCGGCAGTCACGAGCTGCTCCATCTTGATCGTTTTCGCGACGCCGTTCGCGTCCGTTACATTCAGCCCCGTTACAATCATGTTGCCCGCGCGTAGCTTCGCATTCGGGCTGACCCCAAGCCCGACAGGGGAATTCCCCGCAGCGCCGTCATTCGCGCTTCGAGCAGCAATCGACGATCCCCGACCCGACTGCAAGTGGTTCGGCAGAGGTCCGGAGAGAGGCCGAGAGAGGGAGAGCAGGAGAGAGAGCGGAGTTCCTGAGGAGCGTCTCAATCCGTCTTCTTCGTCTCCTAGTTGCAACACGCCGAATTCACTGGCGTTAATGCTGTGACGCGGAGAGGAGAGAGTGTGCACCCACTGCTCGCCACTCACCCACACCGGGTTACCACCACCACTCGCCTTCGCTCCGGTGCCCTCGCCTTCGCCGTTGTTCGCCGTGTACGCTGCGGCCATGTGACGGGCGTAGGCAGACACCCCCTCGGCACGGCCGAGGGAGACGGATCTTCTGAGGTTCGCGCCGCCCGCGCCGCCGCCGCCGCCGCCGCCGTTGCCGCCGTCTGGGCACGGACTGTCGGCGGCGGGCTCGATGAACGAAGCGCGGATGGACTGCGCGAGGAGCGCCGGCGTAACCGGGTCCGCCGCGCGGGGAGAGCGCGGCGGGATGATTTTCAGATCGTGGTTGCTGCTGCGGAGATGCTTCACCTCGTTGCGCAGTCGCCGCCCTTCTTCCTCTTCCTCCTGCAGCCGTCTCTTCAGTTCTGCCACCTCATTGGCCAGCTCCTCCACGTGGCCCCACACCACCGAGCCGCTGCTGCTCCCGCCGCCGCCGCCGGCCGCGGGGCCGTCTTTTGGGTCGTTTTTAACCCCTGAGGAGCCTGCCTGCGCTTCCTTCTCATTCGTGCTGCAGCAAGAGGCGACAGAAGATCCGGCGGGAATTGCAGCCATGGGGCCGAGGCCCCAGATCGGGTCGGCGTTTTCGTCGTCTTCGTCGTCGAAGTTGAGATGACGTGGATGGTGGTGGCGCTGTCGTGGATCGTTGTGGTCGCAGCAGTGGTGGTGCGGGGAGTAGTGCTCGGGCGACGGGAGGTGGCAACAGTCGTTGTTGCGCTCCTGCTCGTTGTCGTTAATGTTGTTCGCGAAGAGTTCGCGATGGCGATCCCCTTTCACGATGTTCCAGCGACCGCGCATTGGCGACTTGTGACGCGGAGAAACAACATCCTGTGCAACGCGGGAGACGAAGCACGCGCAACGTAGACAACACAGCAGATAAAGATACTACGCACAGAAGGATGGGTGAGTCCTAGAGTGGAATAGCAAGTCTGTACGTATTAAGAGGCCTACTTCTCGTCCAAAGGGCATGCGTGAAAAGGTCCAGCTAGGAAGAACGGAAGCGTGGGGAAAAGTGGGGTCGAGGACAAGGAGATGAGTGAGGGGGTTGACTGAATAAAATCCTGAAGAAACACCATTGAATCAGATCGTATAGCAGCTCCTTTCCACAGCAATCAAGTGAATTCCAGTGATTCTAAAGCTTTCGGGAATTCGAATACTCTCCCATCTCTTCGAGTCGGGCTGCAGGGCGTTCGACTCATAATCAGCAGGATTTTAATGAGTGGTGTCACAAAGACTCACCCGGTTCGTCGACTTGGGCTGAAGAGCGCCAGCCATGGGGCTGGTTTTCCTGCCGCCAAAGTCCATCGCTTCATTCTCTACCGGCAGACTCCCGCCGAAACACGCCAAGAGCCGCTTCCCGGACTTCGGAGTCCGGTTTTCTTTTCTTCTGCTAGACGGTTCCTTTCTCCCGCCTAGCGGGCTAAGATTACCCACTGGGCTCCACATGGTGGCTCGATCGATTGCTACGCACAAAGAGGCTTGTGCACGGTGACACTAAGTATCAACAAGTGTGTTCTAAGGAGGAATGGGTTGGGATGTGGCTGGATTTGAGCGCAACGCACGGTTGCATGTCGTGCTGGGTCTGGTATACTCCCAGCACCAGAGAGTTTTCTTTTTTGCGCGAAGAATAGAACTCGACTACGGTGATAGGAATCTCAGAATGGAACAACTCAGTGTTGTCAATGGTAGTGGCTTCGAGCTGTGGATTCGTAGCGAATGCAGAGAAACATCTGACGTCGCGACTACTACTTGCTAACTTCTGCCTCCTGGACACATCAAAGATCACCAAGAAACTCTTAGCTCAAAACAAGGACATCTGGGTGGCAAGGAGGGTCAAGCGAGCGAGCTCCCGGTTTTGGGAGTTCCCTGAGGTTCGAGCTTCGCCTGGCCGTTGCGCGGTTATCGTTCCTCACTGAGGTTTGTTCGATTCGAATTTCGAGCCCCACTTGTAGCTGTCTTCCCGAGGCGGCACTTCCTTGGAGTGACGAAAATATGGGAAATGATGATGCGATCTCGGTTCAGTGCCTTTTTATGAGTTTCAGTACATTTCAGAGGTCTTTATATGACACCAGAGAAAGCTCGGGTCTGGTTGTGAGGGAAACTGATGTTTTTTACATTCCGTGATGGGACATCGTGGCGGGGAGACCTTGGGATTTGGCGGTTGGGATCATTTGCATTGCAATTGAAAATACATAAGGCCCAATGGCGAATGTCGATGAGTTAGTTGTACCTTGATGATTCTGGCGGGAGTTCAATCAAATTTGAAATGTTGGCGGGTTCAATGAGCACCAGTGACCGTTTTACTTTTCAGGTCAAGAACTGCTGGTATTGGTTCGAGCCAACTGATTCCCGCGATGGTGTTCCTCGACAAGGGAAGATGTACACACAAAGTGTCAGCTCTATCGTCCTGGAGTTCCGAAAGTGTTTGAGTGGTCGCACAATATCATCCTGGAACATTTACGAAACAAAAAGCTAAAGCTTACTCGCAAATCCGCTGGACCAATTTCTATTATCAAGTGTTACCGTGTGAACCCTTCAGGCGAACTGGAAAAATCTTCGGTGCAAGGAAACGCACAAAAACTGCCAGGAGTATTCTACAACCCCCAAAAAATGTTTTGAACCAGCTGTGACCCATTGGTTTCCAAATCTCGAGCTTGGATTGAAACCTCCCTTCCCCAACGCATACTGCTGACGTCCGCAAAACCCTGCTGAATTGTCGAAATCCAGCTGTAGACGAAGCGAACCTTCCAGTTTTCATTGGCGAAACCTCCCAGCGGTTTATTCAGTGAATCACGAGTGGCGGGCGGTTTAAAAGCACAAGCCATGGGCTGTGGCCAGCACGGACCTTCCCATTTAGCTGGGGATTTATGGCGGACCATCCGCCATTGCATGCCACGTGTACGAAGATTTATGTTCGCGTCCAGTAGTCGTGCAGGTCCGCTGCGACTTTACGGCAACTACTTTCAGGAAGCGCTGCCTTTTAGCAGCGAATGCATAGCCCAGCAATGGCTTCACGTATGTACGGATGTACTAATAGTTTCTGACCCATCAGATGTAGTTTGTAGGAATCGCGTGGCTCCATGCATATTAGACTCTGTCGTTGAATGCGGTACACGTGTGACGCCGCTCATTCCAGTTCGCTTGCCTCCCGCCTTGTTTCCTGCTTTAGGGCTCTCACATGATATAGTCGCTGATCCTTGGCTTTCCTTGTAAAGGTGGTGCGAATCCGTTAGCTTGTAAGATACTCACGTTCATCACAGTGTAGATCTTTCAGACTCCCAGCAAACTCAACTCTCGAGCAATGATACGTGAGGAGTGTGATAGGTGATTGGTGAACCCTGATCAATGATCAGTGAGAAGTGTGATCAGTGATGAGCCATCAGTCAGATTACATCGTTAGCCAGTCTCGTGGAGGCCATTTGTAACCGCCTTCACCAGCGCCTTACCATCGCGATCGACGGTAGCGATTGCATCTCCTTGATCACGCAGCCATGATCGACGGCGGAAATGTGTACCGCGTGTTCTGCGCCATCGTGCCGCTGTACGTGGGCATCGGATCGGGCTTCCTGTCAGTGCGCGTCTTCAAGATCCTCTCGCCCGACCAGTGCGCCGGAATCAACCGTTACATCGCCTTCATCGCGCTCCCCTCGCTCGTCTTCCAGGTGCGCACTCCTCATCGAGTTCCCTGTGTCTGCGCGTGCTCCCGTCGTTCATCCATACTCTCCTCTCGAGAGATGGGACGACTTTGTGGCACCTGGAAGGCTCTCATAGGACCCGTGGTGGCCTCTGCTCTGCTCCCTCGCCGAAGCCAATCTCTTCCTTCTCCTGCAGCTCCATGTGATGTGCTTCCTGCTGTCATCCGACTTCCCTCCCGCATGCACCTTTCTCTGATCTCAAAACCCCATCCTGGCCCCACCCCTCAGACCATAGCCAAGACGGACATGTTCTTGATGAACTTCCAGTTTCTAGGAGCCGACTCCACAGCGAAGCTCTTCGTGCTGGTGATGGTGGTGCTCTTCCTGCTGCTGCCACTCCTTATCCCACCCCTGGCATTTCCCCTTCGTTCTAATCCCCGACACCACGCCCCACCCACCACCAGACCATAGCCAAGACGGACATGTTCTTGATGAACTTCCAAATCCTGGGCGCCAACTCCACAGCTAAGCTCTTCGTGCTGGTAGTGGTGGTGCTGCTCTTCCTGACGCTGATATTCCACCCCTGGCATCGTTCTCAACCCCCCACCACCCCTTGGCCCCCCCACCAGACCATAGCCAAGACGGACATGTTCAAGATGAATTTCCAGTTCCTGGGCGCCGACTCCACAGCCAAGCTGTTTGTACTGGTAGTGGTGGTGCTGTTCCTGCTGCTGCGAGTGGCCGCCAAGCAACTCGCCGTGCACAGAGCCTTCCTCTGGTCCGCCTCGCTCTTCATGCTCGTCTCCATGCCCAACACCCTCATCATCGGTCAGTTACCCTTGCTCGCCTGCTCCTGCGCCTGTTCCCGCGCCTGCTCCCACGCCTGTTCCCGCGCCTGCTCCCACGCCTGCTCCCACGCCTGTTCCCATGCCTGTTCCCACGCCTGCTCCCACGCCTGCTCCCACGCCTGCTCCCACGCCTGCTCCCACGCCTGCTCCTGCGCCTGTTCCCGCGCCTGCTCCCGCGCCTGTTCCCGCGCCTGCTCCCACGCCTGTTCCCACGCCTGTTCCCATGCCTGTTCCCACGCCTGCTCCCACGCCTGCTCCCACGCCTGCTCCCACGCCTGCTCCCACGCCTGCTCCCACGCCTGCTCCCACGCCTGCTCCCACGCCTGCTCCTGCGCCTGTTCCCGTGCCTGCTCCCGCGCCTGTTCCCGCGCCTGCTCCCACGCCTGTTCCCACGCCTGTTCCCATGCCTGTTCCCACGCCTGCTCCCACGCCTGCTCCCACGCCTGCTCCCACGCCTGCTCCCCGCCTGCTCCCTACTCCTCCCCTCCATCCATCTGTGCAGCAGTGCAGTGCTGATGCGGGCACAAGCCAAGCTATCCCATCCATCCTCATCACCCCAACATGCACCCAACATGTCCCTTCACCTTACAGGAGTGCCGCTGCTCTCACACATGTATGGGGACGAGGCGGGGTACCTCATGGCACAGATCGTGGTGCTGCAGTGCTCATGCTGGGAAGAAGACGCCTCGCCCTCATCCCCCACACATGCCCCATGCCCCTCACATGCCCCTCACATGTCCCACATCGTACCGCCTCCCCCCCTCACAGGAGTACCACTGCTGTCAGCCATGTACGGGGAGGAGGCTGGGGACCTCATGGCGCAGCGGGGTGTGGTGCTCAGCTGAGCATCACGCAGCAGTGTGACAGTGTGACGGTGTGACGCCCAGCACAACACAAGCAACCCCGTCTTCATGCTCCGCGCATGTCCCCCTCTCCCCACAACCCCCCCCCACCAACCTCACAGGAGTACCACTGCTGTCAGTCATGTATGGGGAGGAGGCTGGGGACCTCATGGCGCAGATAGTGGTGCTGCAGGTGAGTCTTGTGGACTAATTTGTTTTCTGTCGATTCAAAATAGTCTCAGAGTAAATAGTGAACGCATGACATGAGCCACTCAGTTTCAGGTACCGTAGGAATAGGCCTTACCATACGCGTCCCTCTCTCCATCTCTCACCTTCCCCCAAAATCCTGAGCTTGCTACTCTATAGGCCGCATCAATGCAGGCAGCTGGGTTGATGCCTCTCCCTTCCTGTACTTCCACCCCTCTCCCACACCCACTTCCCACCAATCCCAGTCCGCCATTTGGATGCCGCTCACCATCTTCCTCCTGTCCTGCCAGCAAGCCACCTCCCTCAGCACTCGCCGCCTGCACAACGCCGCTGCCCCCTCTTACCCTGCTTTGAACAGCACCCCTACTACACTTGATGCCTCTGACTGTAACCATCCTCTGTATAACGTGACTCACTGGTTCCCTCTCTCATTCCACCCTTTTTGTGTTCTTCCCCCCCCATTTCTTTCCCCTTCCCACGCCCGTGTCAAACCAATGGCAGTCCGCCATTTGGATGCCGCTCACCATCTTCCTCCTGTCCTGCCAGCAAGCCACCTCCCTGAGCACTCGTCGCGTTCACGACGCCGCCGCCCCCAACCACGCTCATTATACCAACAACCCTGGTGCTGGCACTGGCAGCACTGATAACCAGGGCAGTAGCACTGCGAGCCGCGCAGCAAGCACTGTTGCGGGAGCAGACGTTGTGGGTGCCGTTGCCACTGTTGCTGATGTCTCCCACGGCCAGGGACAGCAGCAGCAGCAGCAGCAGCAGCAGCAGCAGCAGCGGCGCATGACTCGCCTGGAGAGCATGCTTGTGCGCAGCTCCTCGTTCAATGGCAGCTGGTTCAACAGCCGCGGCTTTAATACAGTCACCCACGCAAGCTCCGTTAGTGACAGATCCGTTAGTGACAGATCCGTTAGTGAGAGTTCCGTTAGTGGTAGAAGCACGGTTGTGAGTTTCAGTGAGACGAGGTACATACATGATGTGGATGCTACCAGATCAGAGAAGTCAGTTGGAACGCCGACAGAGTCAAGAGCAACTAGTGATGAGCTGGCAGTTAGTGAGAGCAAGGATGGGGAGGAGCAGCAGAGGCAGCACGGGAGTGAGGTTGCTGGGGAGGGCCGGGAGAGTGAGGGGAGTGAGGAAGGGCCGTGCGTGTGCATTGAGGTAGTGAATTATCAGACAACTGGTGGTGCCCAGGTGAGTGCAGCTGATGCTGCAGGAGCTATAGCTGCAGGGCCGCCGGCTTTTGAGACGTCTCAGAAGTCTGCTGCAGGAGCTATAGCTGCAGGAGCTATAGCTGCAGGAGCTATAGATGCAGGGCTGCCAGCTACGGGAGCTGTACCTGTAGCTACAGGGCCACCAGCTGGTGGCGATACAGTGGGAGGAGTGGGAAGGGCGAGCAGCTTCGGCCGGGCCAGCAGCTTCGGCCGGACCAGCAGCCTCGATCAGTGTCCGTCTATACCTGAAAGCACCCCGTTTGAGGAGCCCTGGGATAGAGGGGTCGATGCAGAAGGTAGCTCCAGCCTCAGGAATGGAGGTGCCAGTTACACGGTTACAAGTTCAGCAGCGAAGGAGGAGCAGCAGCAGCAGAAGAAGAAGGAGGAGGAGGAAGAGATGCAAGGGCAAGTACCAGAGATGTCATCGGTAGGGGCAGACGCCCCACTGGCTTGCTGTAAAGAGGTGGGGCCTGAGAAGCAGGGTGAAGGAGGGAGCGGGATTGCTTGGTGGAGGAAGGGGAGGAGGAAAGGGAAGGGGAAGGGGAGGAGGAGCAGGGTGGTGGCGGTGCTGTGGGTGGTGTGGACGAAGCTGGTGCGGAACCCCAACAACTACGCGGCCCTCATAGGGGTTATCTACTCGCTTGTGTCCAACGCGTGAGTCATTGCTATGGGAAATGGGGAAGGAGTAGGGTGGTGGCGGTGCTGTGGGTGGTGTGGGCGAAGCTGGTTCGGAACCCCAACAACTATGCGGCTCTCATTGGGGTTGTCTACTCCCTTGTGTCCAACGCGTGAGTCGCTCCCTATCACTCTCTCTCACTCCCGCTCGCTCCCTCTCGCTCCCTCTCGCTCCCTCTCGCTCCCTCTCACTCCCTCTCACTCCCGCTCACTCCCCTCACTCCCGCTCACTCCCTCCTCTCAAACGCGTGAGTCGATTTTTTTTAGAAATCACTCAACATTTGTGTCTTAGGAGCCTCATAGCTGTTGGGAATGTTGGTGCGGAATCCTAACAGCAACTATTTGGCCTCCTCTACTGCCTCGTCATGTCCAACGCATGAGTGAGTCTCCTGTGTGATGCATCTGCTACTGCAGCGCATGCCTTAGTAGTCTGGCCAAGGGTACTGCACATTTAACTTTTGTGTGGAATGGATCTCCATTTCCCTCCATTTCCCTCCATTTCCCTCCATTTCCCTCCATTTCCCTCCAATTCCCTCCATTTCCTGCTTCCCCTCTCTCCAGCTGTGGCTTTGGCTACCCGGAGATGCTACGCACGTCAGTCAAGATCATTGCAGACACGGGCCTTGGCATGTCCATGTTCAGCCTGGGTGAGTGTCGTCTCAGCCTGGGTGAGTGTCGTCTCAGCCTGGGTGAGTGTCGTCTCAGCCTGGGTGAGTGTCGTCTCAGCCTGGGTGAGTGTCGTCTCAGCCTGGGTGAGTGTCGTCTCAGCCTGGGTGAGTGTCGTCTCAGCCTGGGTGAGTGTCGTCTCAGCCTGGGTGAGTGTCGTCTCAGCCTGGGTGAGTGTCGTCTCAGCCTGGGTGAGTGTCGTCTCAGCCTGGGTGAGTGTCGTCTCAGCCTGGGTGAGTGTCGTCTCAGCCTGGGTGAGTGTCGTCTCAGCCTGGGTGAGTGTCGTCTCACAGTCCCCCTCACAGTCCCCTCACAATCCCCCTCACAGTCCCCCTCACAGTCCCCCTCACAGTCCCCCTCACAGTCCCCCTCACAGTCCCCCTCACAGTCCCCTCACAGTCCCCCTCACAGTCCCCCTCACAGTCCCCTCACAGTCCCCCTCACAGTCCCCCTCACAGTCCCCCTCACAGTCCCCCTCACAGTCCCCTCACAGTCCCCCTCACAGTCCCCTCACAGTCCCCCTCACAGTCCACTCACAGTCCCCCTCACAGTCCCCCTCACAGTCCCCTCACAGTCCCCCTCACAGTCCCCCTCACAGTCCCCCTCACAGTCCCCTCACAGTCCCCCTCACAGCCCCCCTCACAGTCCCCCTCACAGTCCCCCTCACAGTCCCCCTCACAGTCCCCCTCACAGTCCCCCTCACAGTCCCCCTCACAGTCCCCCTCACAGTCCCCCTCACAGTCCCCCTCACAGTCCCCCTCACAGTCCCCCTCACAGTCCCCCTCACAGTCCCCCTCACAGTCCCCCTCACAGTCCCCCTCACAGTCCCCCTCACAGTCCCCCTCACAGTCCCCTCACAGTCCCCCTCACAGTCCCCCTCACAGTCCCCCTCACAGTCCCCCTCACAGTCCCCCTCACAGTCCCCTTTCTCCCAACCCACCTCTTTACCCGCACTCAGCTCTGTTCATGGCGAGCCAGAAGAGTCCGCTCTCTCCTGCACCGTGTGGTCACTTGCGCTCCGCTTCGCCCTCGCACCGCCCACCACCGCCTCTCTCCCCACTCTCAACCCCCACTCTACTCCCCCCCCCCTCAGGTCTCTTCATGGCGAGCCAAAAGACCCTGCTCTCCTGCGGAGTGTGGCACACCGTGTGGTCGCTCGCGCTGCGCTTCACCCTCACACCGCTCACCACCGCACTCTTCGCCTTCCTCTTTGGCATCCGTGGAAAGCTCTTCCGAATCATTGCCATGCAGGTGAGGTGAGGGGTGCTATGCCATGCAGGTGAGGTGAGACGTCTCAAAACGGAGTTCAGGCTTGGGCTTCAGGCATGCTTCTCCTGTTCTTCCTGAACCACTTTTGAGTGGACTTGAAAGCAGACCCGTTGTTCCTGCACCACCACTGCCAGTCCGCACTGTCACCAGCTATTGTGACTCTTTTTTTTTGCCCCTTGTGATGAGTTATTTTAGAGTCAACTCATAAATAGACTCATCACACCCAGCCATACTTCTCCCATTCTTCCTGCACCACCACTATGAGTCCGAACTGTCACCATAAAATTTGAGCCTTTGCTTGCCCCACGGCCCTCAACTCCCCTCCCCAACTCTCCCCCTTGTCTCCCTTGTTTGATTCCCCATTGTCTCCCCCCTCCCTCAGTCTGCATTGCCCCCAGGGGTGGTGACCTTTGTTCTGGCCAACGAGTACAAATCCCACACCGCCATTCATAGCACCGGGTGAGTACAGTACAACAAACATACCAAAGATTGCCGTATGCACCAAAATACACGTGTCCTCAGGCGCGGTACGTTTGTGTTCAGTTACACAGACTGAAAGAGCAGAAGTCACACGACACCGCATACGGGACTGGATAACGAAAGCTAGCGGTTTAGGGTTGAGATGAGAACACAACACAAGCTCTCGCGCCCTTCTGTTCCTTTCTTTCCAACGCCCATGAAATCTGCACGCATCCGTCTCATTCACTTGACACCACTTGACTTGCTCCAACGCTATTTCATCATCCCATACCCCTCAGGCACCATGCACCACCTTCGATTTTGCCTCCCCTTTTGTCCAATAAAATCATGCAGGGTTTGCTTTGGGACCTTAATATCCTTTCCCATCCTCATGGGCTATTACCTCCTCTTGGGAGAGTGAAATATCAGTATTGTAAGATGCTGGCTGGCCTGTGCCAAAGTAATGTGTTTCATTATCCATAGTGTAATATATGTTTCATTGATTGTTATTCTGTAGACGGCTAAATTTGTTTTTGGGGCCATTGGTACGGGTAAATCCAGAAACCACAGCAACAGGCGAGGCGACAACCAAAGGGTAATAGAAGACGGCAGCTTGCCCAGAACGATTAAAGACAAAGCGCCAGCTTCGGACATTCGAGAACGTGCGACCTCCAACCATCGCACCGCCTTGATTCGCCTATGGGATCAAAATATTTTACGCGTAGCGCGTTACGACCTCGAATTTCGCAGGTCATTTGGACGGTCAGATGAGGCCAGAATTCGCCTTGAGAATGTGCAGTTGGTGTCAGTTGTAACATGTATATGAGGTGGCATTAGACGAGTGGTTAATATTCTGAATTGTTCAGTAAACCACGAGCGAATAGTCGCGCGATTCGTGCAGCTGCTTGCGCTTTGGCCGGACTGGGCCTTTTTTTTTTGCCCAAGCTGACGCTGACAGCCGGTCCGAGTGACGCAGAATTTGTCGTCCCTGACGCCAGCTGCAATCCACCGTTGTGCGAAAATCTCACATGCCAGACAAACCCTCTGACTGAACCCACGCCCAGGATGTGGTTCGGTTTCCTCGAAATTTATTGCGTTTCGGTTCGGCAAAGTCCTGGCATTGTACTCGGATTGAGCTCAGGGTTTAAAAGGATAAATATCGGTCAAGAAGCTTCTTGTATGGTTAAGGATGGTGACTTGCCATGTGGTTCTAACCTGGCAAAGCTCAAACCTCCTTTGGGCATGAAGCCCTAGAGAAAATCAAGAATCTCGTGATTGCCCTCACCGCCACACAGTATCGATCAAACCTCTTTGCCCAGCCTTTATCCGTACCACCCAAATTTCCAAACAACCAAACCTCGGTTCGGACCCTGCAAGCCTTTGCGTCTCTACTCTTCCTCCTTATCCCCTCCACGTCCCCCATTATCCCTCTCTCTGTTCCATCCCGCCGCCTCTCAGCCATCTTCTAGACGCTTTTCACTGGCACGGTTCTTTCTCGTCCGTCCCATCACTTCGTTCCGCCAAGCATTCTTGCATATGCAACCTCGAATCCGCCATGACCATCTCACCAGCTGACGCGGAAGCGCCGCCGCGACCCGCGGCGGGCTGCTCCTTCATGTGCTGCCAGCGCCACGCCTTCGTTTTCTCGACCTCCATCGGCAGCACCAACTTCAGCGTTTGCGTCGCTTGCGCCGCCTCGCGATGGCTCAGACACACCGTTTTCGCGCTCCCATCCTTCCTCCTCGTGCTGACCGCTTTCTGGGCGATTAACGAGCTCCTGCTCCCCGTGCAATGGCGCTTCGACCTTACCGCGCCTCGCGTATTGACTCCTCGCATTCTCGTCCTGATGCTTCTGACGTGTCCTGTGATCTGGCACGAGTGGGTGATTCCACGCGTCAACGCGCGACGCGAGCGGCGCGAAGACCGGCGGAGGGAGCAGCGGCTCGAAAAGGGGATTAAAGAAGCTCGGTTGCGAAAAGAGGCGACGCGGCGCTGTCGCAACTGCATGACTGCGTATCGCGATCAGTCGCCATCATCGGGGAGGTTTACCTGTGCCGGTTGTGGACACGTGTCGCGCCGTCCGGTGCTCGATCTGCTCGATACAAGCCGTCCCGATAGTGTACGAGATCAAAGTCATCAACAGTCAAGCGTTGCGGAGTCTAGCCCTCGCCGGGAGCAGCAAGAGCAGCAAGAGAAGCAGCTAGAGCCGCAGCAACAACAGCAACAGAAGGAGCAGCAGCATTTCTCACTTCCACCAACCGAAGAAGAGATTAGCAGTAGAAGCAGTGACAGGGGCAATGTAGGGGGCAGCATACACAACACTAGCGCGCACGAAACTAGCAGTATTCAGGGGACCCTTGGGAATGCCGATAGGACCCTTGAAAATGCCGACGATCGCTCTGCCCGAAGCCGGCACTGGTTGCGCAACATCGTTTTCCCCGCCGTTTTCCTCCCCATTGCGGCGGTTTGGCGCGCCATTCTGCAGGCGATGGCGCTATTCTTCTCCGCCGCGGGATGGTTCCGTCAACGGCTCGTAGGCCCGCGCACGGCGGAAGCTGGTGTGCGCGGAGGTTCCGTCTCCGCAAGCGCTGAAGCGTGCGCGGACAGGGCAGCGCGGGCTCGGCGCAAGATGATGGGGATGCGGAAGCTTACGCGGGCGGAGCGGGAAGCGACGGAGGCGGAGGAGCGGAAACAGCGCGAGGAGATCGCGCAAATGGTGGAAGCGCAGCGGAAGGCGCGGGAGCAGGCGGAAGGGGCGAGTAATACGAATAACTGGGAGGTTATCGGGAAAAAGCCCGCGAATGTTGGAAAAGCGGTCGAGGTACCAACAATAACGAGACGGGCTGTAACGAATAGAGATAACTGCCCGTACAAAGGAAGCCGGTCCCACAGCGTAGTGAGCGCAAAATCGCTTACCGGGCAGACGAAAAGTTTAGGGCAGCCCATTAGCAGCGCGCGCAAAACGGATTCGAGCAGCGCGCGCACGGCGGATTCGAACAGCGCGCGCATGACGGAAAGAGCGCCCGTGGGATCTGCGCAAGCGGGCGTGTTGGGGAAGGGGCAGGTGCGGAGTGGGTTGCCCGCGAGTTTTAATAATAAGGGTTTTGAGGCGCCTGAAAAGTCGGCCGCGGCTTTAGAGAATAAAGGCGGCAGCAGCGTGTGGAATAAGGGGAGCACTAGCGGATCCACTACCGGCGGCGACAGCAGCAGCAGCGTCGGCGGCGGCGGCGGTGGCGGCGCGCGGAATAAGGGAACCATTTTGTGCCCAGCGCCCCCGCCGCGCTCTTCTAACGAGTACACTACTTCCCCGATACAAGCCTCTCCGCCCACTCGAGATAATCGCACGTTCTCCCAGGTGGCAAAGAGCAGCAGCAGGAGAAGCAGCGGGGAGCAAGACAAGCAGGGTAGTGTGAAGACGGGAGGGAAAGAAGTTGGACCTTCCATTGTCAGGTTAGGTGATTGGACAGGGAAGGAATGGCCGCAGTGGGATTCTGGTATTGGCACTTGTAGCAGCGGCAGCAGCAGCAGCAGCGGCAGCAGCTTCAGTGGCGGCAGGAGCAGCTTCGGCAGTGTCAGTGGTAGGAGCAGTAGCAGCAGCAGCAGCAGCAGCGGGGACAGTAGTGGCAGTGGTGCTAGGTTTCTCGAGGCTACAGCCGTCTGTGCTACAGCCGTCTGTGCTACAGCCGTCTGTGCTACAGCCGTCTCTGAACCCTCCACAGGGGCGGGTGAGTCTGAGGTGACAGGGACGGCATGCCTGTGGTCGTACCCTGCCATTGCTCCCTTGCTTCATCCCGCTCCTGCTGCTGCTGCTGTCGCTGCAACGGCAGTGTCGCCAGCACCATCAGCCTGCGACTCCTTGCCGTTCGTCTCCTCCTCTTCCTTCCCATCCTCCTCCTTCACCACTCCTATCAAGCAGCAACCGCAGCAGCAGCAGCAGCAGCAGCAGCAGGGGAGGAACGAGGGAGTAGCGTGTGGGAGGGAGTGGGAGATGTGGGGTTCCACACAGCGGCTCACAGACGCTTTCGGCTTCACACCTCCTACCTTCTCTGCATCCTCTTCCGCTGCTCTTCCCTCCTCCCCCCCTCTTCCTGCCTCCGCTCTTTCCTCAACCCCTGTTCCCGCCTCCACCATTGCTTCTCTCACCACCACCACAACCACCCCCAACTCCTACCTCACCAATCCCTTCGCCCTCCCCTTCTCCTCGCCCTTCTCACTGGGGTTTTCACCCACTCTCGTGCCCGCCACACCCGTCGACCCAGCACCACTGACAAATAGCCCACTCAGTCTTAGCACCCCTGCTGCTGCTCTGCCCGGTACTGCTGTCGGCTCGGTAGAGAGGAGCAGCTTCACCGGATCAAAGAACACTTTTCATGCAGACAGGCATGCTTTCCCTGGGTCCTGGAGTGCAGGGGGGGTGGCTTCTGAGTCGAGTCAGCAGTCACCTCGTTTTCCTGGGTCGTGGAGTGCTGGGGGGCAAGATTTGACTGGGTTCGGCGATGCGCTAAAGAGTAACGCGTTTAGAGCAGCGATTCGCGGCGGTGGCAGTGGAGTGGGCGGCGGGGCGGGCGGCGGAGGGATGCGGGCGGCGTGGATGACGGAGATGTGGGACGAGGACGTGCCGCCCGCTTTTGTGGATTGCATCACGCAGGAGATCATGCGCGACCCGGTGATCACAGCCGACGGGCACTCTTACGAACGTGCTGCGATTGAAAAGTGGCTCATGTGAGTGTGGGGGTGTGTGGCGTGCATCTGGGGGTGTATGGGAGGCTTGTGTAAGCTGGGAGGGAGGAGGGAGGGAGGGGGGGGCAGCACGCACAGCAGGAGATCATGCGCGATCCAGTGATCACAGCCGACGGGCACTCTTACGAACGTGCTGCCATCGAGAAATGGCTCATGTGAGTGTGGGTGTGTGGCCTTGCCCTGGGTGTGCATCTGGGGGTGTATGGGAGGCTTGTGTGTGCTGGGAGGGAGGGCAGCACGCATTGGAAGAGGGGAGATCATGCGCGATCCGGTGATCACTGCTGACGGGCACTCTTACGAACGGGCTGCCATCGAGAAATGGATCATGCGAGTGTTTGGGGGAAAGACAGGGGAGGGAGGATGAGGGCGTGGGTGTGGCTGTGGTTGTGGCTGTGGCTGTGAGGGAAAGAGACAGAGGTCTAAAACACAAATCTTGTCTTTCAATCCCGTCCCCACCTGCAGGCACCACAACACGAGCCCCATGATGGGCAAAGTTCTGCCTCCCTTACATGCGCCACAGCTGCTGCTACAGCTGCCACAGCTGTCTGACCCTCCCTGGCCTTGAACTCAAGTCATGTGTTTCGTTTCCACCCACCTGCAGGCACCATGACACGAGCCCCATGACAGGCAAAGTTCTGCCTCCCTTACATGCTACAGCTGCCACAGCTGCTAAGTCTGCTGCTTCACCTACGGCTCTTGCTACAGCTGCAGCTGCTGACCCCTTTCAGGGGGACTGTTTTACCTCATGCCTTGCCGGCTGCAGCTGCAAGCACAGGGGCCAGTGCATGGGCCAAGGTCGGTGCAGTGCGGTTGGGAACGGTGGTGAGGGGTGCAGTGAGCATTGCGTGGTGGACAAGACGCTGCGACCGAACCACATCCTGCGTGGGCAGATCATCGAGTTTCAAGAATTGATGGCGCTGCTGTGAGTTTCCTGCTTGACTGACTGACTGACTGTGCTGCAGTGTTCTGCAATGGGGTTTGCTGTGTGGTTGACTCGACTGCTCTTTAACATCCTGTGCGGGCAGATCATCGAAATTCCAAGAATTGAGGGCGCTGCAGCGAGTTGCCTGTTGCCTGTTTGGCTGGCTGTGTCAAAGAGTGACACAGCCAGCCAACTCACTGTTTGGCTGTGCTGCAGTGTTTCGCAATGTGGTATGCTGTGTGCTTTATTGCTCTTTAACATCATGCGGGCAGATAATCGAGTTTCGAGAGATGATGGCGCTGCAGTGAGTTGGCTGGCTGTGTCACTCTTTGACTGTGCTGTGCTGTGCTGTGCTGTGCTGTGTGCTTGGCTGTTCTAGGGTTTGGGTTTAAGCGGATTAGGTTTGCGAGCAGATGATTGAGTTCCAGGAGATGATGGCGCTGCAGTGAGTTGGTTCGAATATATTCATGCCTTGCCGTGGCGTGCTGCTGTACCGTGCCGTGCCGTGCCGTGCCGTGCCTTGCCGTGGCGTGCTGCTGTGCCGTGCTTTATTTTGATGCGTGTGACTGATTCTTTTGCCCCTCTCTGCTCATCCCTGCGTGACTCTGTGGCTGGCAGGGCAAGGGAGCGCACAGCAGCAGCACCCCCCACACGCGCTGCAGCTGCATTTACCACCTAGGGCTGCATTTACCACCTAGGGCTGCATTTACCACCTAGGGCTGCATTGCAGAGGCTGCTGCTTGCAACAGCAACGAGAGGATGCAGCTAAGGGAGTGGAGAGTAGCAGCACCCCCCACACGCGCTGCAGCTGCATTTACTGGTACCACCTAGGGCTGCATGCATTGCACCTGTTGCTGCAGCATACATAAGACTGAATCACTCTTCAGAATTCCCATAAGACCACTGTACCATCCTGAAGTTGAGACACCAAGGGCTGCCCTGATAATCGATGGAGTAAGACCCCTATTTGTGTGTACGAGATAAGACATATGTGTCGTATAATCGAAACTGCAATATATTATAGTGAAACTTGAAATACCGCATACATTTTTACCCTTGCGATGCGAGAATTCTTCCACGTGTTGGAAACAACTGATTTAAGCACCTCTGTCGTGTCGAAACACCAAGACAGAAGCGAAACAGATCGTATCGAAACATCGGTGAGTCAACCCTCGGAGGTTGAATAACCGTTGAAGGTTACGCGAAAGTCAAAGGTCAGCGACCTTTGACCTGACAAATGCAGCGCGACAGCAAGGACAAACAACTGTCTCGATACTGAGCAGTTGCCCGAGTCGACACTGTATCGAACTGCAACAGCAACAGTAAAACAGTTATTAATCGTATCCTTTCATATTCCCTGTATTCTTATAAAAGACATGTATCTCTTTGTTATTATCAACTTACTTTGCCCTCACATACAAGCGCAAGGTAGTTCACAATCTTTTATTAAAACGCTTCCGCTACCACATCATCCTACCCTTGAATTCTGTCCTGCAAAGATCCTAAGGGCATTTTTCAGCCCAACATGGTATGAGAGCGGTCAGGGCAAATTCAACTACAAACGAGATATCTACAACATCGGAAGACATGGCAACACAGAAGGAGAGAAGCTCCTCTAACGGCTCTCCCGGCAATACTCCTACTCCACCTCCTGCCTCTGGTCTACAGACAGAGGAGGGTACGGCAACAAGACCAAGGGCTTCGTCTTCGGAAACTCCAGCAAATCAAACTGCGGCCTTCGATCCAGACATGATGGAGAAATTCTTCTCCTTCATGTCCTTCTACGAACAGCACCGGCAAGGGTCACCTGCACAGTCAAACAACAGCAACAACAACGCAACACCAATGAGCCTAGATGGTTCATCGTACGCACGCGGAAATCAACAGCAACGGCCTACCTTTGCTCCGTACAAGCCCCAGCGTGGCTCCGTCAGTTTTGTGCCACAACCGCAGCCTGCATCCGGACAAGAAAAGACATTGGATGCACTTCAAGTTCAATCACAGTTCCCGCACGTCTTAAAACTGCAGACGACAAGGCCTTTCGACGGAAAGGACTTATTTACCTGGTCATTCGAGTTTGAGTTAATGATGGAAGGCGCACAGATTCTTGGCTTCTTCGACGGATCCCTGCCATATCCAACACACGTCACACAGTACGACAAGCAGCAATACACGTATCAGTTAATGATGGCGTACACAATACTGCTGAGAAATATCACTCCAAGTCAGCAGCAGAACATACGGTCTTACCGGGGTTACGGCAACTCTGCAGAGCTCGCGTACAACCACCTGAAGAACCTATATCAAGCAACAGACAGTGTAAACCAAAGTCGGTTAATGGCGCAACTAACAACAGTCGAAATGAAACCAGGCGAAAAAGGGATGGCGTATATCAGCCGCTGTCGCGAATTGCGCGACAAACTTCTTCGATGCGGAGGGTCGATTTCAGAAGACGCCTTCGTCACAGTCATCATCGGCGGCCTCGGTGCTCAGTGGCGCTCCACCCGCGCCATACTCCGGGCGCATGGAAAGATATCAGAAGCAGCACTCTGCGCCGAGATCCACGCTGAACAGCAAGATATGGACCTGCAAGAAGAACGACACAACAAGAAAGCATCAGTACCCGAATTCGCATTCCAACAACTATCAGCATCAACCGAAACTAGTACCTCCATTCTGTCACCTCTGTAAGACATCAGGACATCCTCGCACACACTGTCCTAACCGACAACATTCAGAACCGACGCAGCGGCAGCTTCGGCCTTCAAGCAGTCAAGTTGCCTCAACGCAAGCAAATCCGACATCTCAAGTACAAGTCTCAACAACATCGACGGGACAACCTGCGCAAGAAACAAGAAACATCGTCAGTTGTATGACACGGTTAACCGATTCCTGCATCACAGAATCACTACCATCTTACTCACCGGAAGAGCATCTTGACAACAGCACGTCTCGCCGCGAGTCGCTTCAACCAAATCCGACCTATGCAGCCATCGCTCAAAACGAGCCATCCGGGAAGGATACGTGGTTCTTGGACAGTTGCTGTGGACAGCATATGTGCTCCTCAGGACGTTTTGTTCAACGTGAACACCAACTTCAACGCGAAGTTGTCATCACCGTCGCCAACAACCAGAACCTGCGCACACGACGACAAGGCGTAGTACAACTTCAGTCACGAGAAACAAATGTCATACTGCAGATGTCAAAGGTTTTGATAGCAGAAGGACTCGGCTACAACTTACTGAGTGTCAGTCAGCTGATGGCGAAGGGCATACACCTCGAGGCCGACAGCACCACCCAGGAGTTTAAGTTATACCACGGCAAAGGTGGTCTCTACATCGGAAAGGCAGTCTTGAAAAACAATGTATTCGTCCTCGACTTTGTCCCAGATCTTGGCACTGCCGACAGCGACGGGATTGTCACCTTCACCTCTTGGACACATCCACCGGATCTTGACCCCGACTTCAGTCCAGAAGGCTTCTGGTACTCGCACACCATCCCTGAGGCAGAACGCACAAGAGCATTAGCAACAATTCAACACTCGGCAGCAGCAGAAACAACATCGACAGCAGCAGAAACAACATCGGCAGCAACAGAAACAACGGTAGCAGCAGCAGCAACGTTGACACCAATTGCTGGTCCTTCAACTGCATCACCTCAAATCGACGACACTTCACCGACTCCCGCGCAGCAGCTAACTCCCACTCCTCGCGAAGTTCACAGAAGCGCCAATTTCACCGCCGCCTTTTACTCCAACTCCGACCTGTATCGTCGTTCACCCGGACATCGCGCCAGCGAAGACATCTGGCACGCACGAATGGGACACCCAAGCAGCACGGTGTTAAACAATACAATCCGAGCCGGTGTACTCGACAAGGATTCACTACTCCTAACGGACGGAAGTGAACTTCGACGAGCGCAAGGAACGTGTTTTACCTGCTCCGAAGCTGACTTACCACATCGGCCATTTACTTCTCACCACAACCCCAGCGCACCAGCTTACGCACCACTTGAGAAAGTGTACAGCGACATCTTGTACAACCGCGAACCTGGACAAGGAGCATACAGTTATACAATCACGTTCATCGATGCAGCTACTCGTTACGTTTGGCATCTCAATCTTCCGAGCAAGGACATGGCCTTCGAAGCCTTCATTGCCTGGCTCCCAGTAGCAGAACGAGAATCCGGCGAGAAACTGAAAAGCTTTCAGTCAGACGGAGGAGGAGAATACACCTCACAGAGGTTCAAGCAGTTCTTGGCAGAAAAGGGAATCAAGAGGCTCATCTCGCTTCCTTACGCCCATCAACAGCAAGGCGTGGCGGAACGGATGAATCGAACTCTCCAGAACACCATGCGCAAATTACTGCGTGGCATGCGACTGCCCAATCACCAGTGGCCTGAAGCAATGGACCACGCTGTCATGCTGCACAACTTGCTTTCGTCGTCGTCACTGCCGAACAACGCATCACCGCACCTGCTGTGGACAGGAAAACAGGGCAGCACAAAAATGTTAAGAGTTTTCGGCTGCATGGTACAGTACCGACCCCCATCTGCACGAGCTGGCCGATTTTCCCAACGCGCACAGTGGGGATTACACCTGGGCATCGAAAGGAATTACAACGCGTGGAAGATTTTCGACGTCCACTCCAAAGAAACAGTAGCAGCACGTGACGTCCTTTTCTACGAACGACTCACCCTTCCGACATATCTTCCCAACCTGGAAGGAAATCGGGATCCCACAGGTGGCTTCCGTGGTGACCGACACTTCGCCTCGGCAGCAGACGAAGCTGACTGGGACGAGCAGAACGTGGATAACGCCTCGGATGAAGCAGGACCACTCCCCTACTGCTCCGTGCCCATCCCGATGGATGACGAAAATCCTCGCGAAAGCGTCAACGCCGAAACATATTTCGACCTCGCCGACACTGGTTACGTTACACCTACAGAAGTCAACACCAACGAAGCAGAACGCGTAGGGCCCAATTTCACACCTGACCCAGAAGCAGGTGACGAAGCAGCTTATCCCGAGGACACAACACTCCCCCGCTACACACAGAGTGGTCTTCAGATACTTGGTCTCGTCACCGCGGTCCACGGCACCGATACTCCTAAGGAGCCTGCCACAGTTCAGCAGGCTCTGGGGGGGGAGCATAAGGAAAAATGGCGTGAAGCCATAGACAAGGAATTGAAAGCACTACAGGAGCGCAACACCTGGAAGGTTGTTCCTATCGGCGTGGCACGAAACAAAACGATTCTCACCGGGAAGTGGGTCTTCCGAGTGAAGACGAAAGCAGATGGCACCATCGACAAGTTCAAGGCACGCTGGGTCGTACGCGGCTTCGACCAAGAACACGGACGCGATTTCACCGAGACGTTCGCTCCGGTCAGCCGACATACTTCACTACGGATTCTTCTCGCGGTCGCCGCTATGAAAAAGAAGAAATTGTGGCAAATCGACGTCGCCAATGCTTTTCTCTACGCACCTGTCGACGCAGAAATCTACGTCGAACTCCCACATGGTTCTCACGGAGAGTCTAATCAAGTTTGTCAACTGCAAAAATCTCTGTACGGGATCAAACAGGCACCGAGACTGTGGCAGCAGTACTTACACGCTCGACTCACCCGCATTGGATTCCGGCAGCTACCGCACGACCAAGGGATGTACCGGCTTACGAAAGACGACGACTACATTCTACTAATCGTCTACGTTGACGATCTGCTCCACATCGGATCAACCGACAAAGTCACTACCTGGTTCGAAGGGGAGCTACAGAGAGATCTTACGCTCACGGTCTCATCTACCGTCACGCAGTACCTCGGCCTCAATATCCAAGAAGAAGAAGGAGCGATCTATCTCAACGCCGCAAAATATGCCGACACCATCGGCAAACGGTTCGCACTCACGCCAACTACCATCTCTACGCCATACCGCTACACGGCAGGAAATGACAAGACAGAATCCGCTCCACTGAAACCCGCCGGCATACGCAACTACCAGAGAAAACTAGGATGCCTTCTCTTCGCGGCCGTCACCTGCCGTCCAGACCTATCATACTCAGCAAGCCAACTCGCCACCTACCTCAAAAGGCCTGAAGACGAACACATGAAGGAACTCGATCGCGCTCTACACTACCTCGTAAGCACTCCGACGATCGGCCTAATCTACTACAAAAACGCAACTACAACGCCCAAACTAATCGGCTACGTCGACGCCGACCACGCCGGAGATTCTGACAACAGGCGCTCGCGCACAGGCTATATCTACCGTCTCGAGCCTATCGGACCTATTTCGTGGCAGTCGAGCAAACAGGAATTAATCGCCCTCTCCTCAGCTGAAGCTGAATACATCGCACTCTGCTCAGCCACCAAGGAAGGACTGTACCTTCGCGAACTGCTGGAGGAAGCGAAGCTGGCCCAGTTACCCAGCTTCTCCCTATTTTGCGACAACCAATCGGCAATTCGCATCGCCAACAAAAATGGATTCGCGAACAGGACGAAACATATCGCCCTGCGATATTTCTTCGTAAAGGACGAGATCGAGAAGGGAAGACTAGAGCTGTCTTACTGCCCCACATCCGAGATGGCAGCTGATTACTTGACCAAGAAGCTCGGAAAGTCGAAGTTCGAATATTGCATGCTGCTGACTGGACAGAGCCACGTCACCAGCGACGACACTCCAGAAGCGAAGGGGAGTGTTGGAAACAACTGATTTAAGCGCCTCTGTCGTGTCGAAACACCAAGACAGAAGCGAAACAGATCGTATCGAAACATCGGTGAGTCAACCCTCGGAGGTTGAATAACCGTTGAAGGTTACGCGAAAGTCAAAGGTCAGCGACCTTTGACCTGACAAATGCAGCGCGACAGCAAGGACAAACAACTGTCTCGATACTGAGCAGTTGCCCGAGTCGACACTGTATCGAACCGCAACAGCAACAGTAAAACAGTTATTAATCGTATCCTTTCATATTCCCTGTATTCTTATAAAAGACATGTATCTCTTTGTTATTATCAACTTACTTTGCCCTCACATACAAGCGCAAGGTAGTTCACAATCCTTTATTAAAACGCTTCCGCTACCACATCATCCTACCCTTGAATTCTGTCCTGCAAAGATCCTAAGGGCATTTTTCAGCCCAACAGGTACTACCAAATTTGCAAGTATTTTCCATGACGTGGCTGTTGGGCTGAGAAAAGCCCTTAGGATCTTTTGCAGGACTAAATTCTGAGTAGGACTGGTGTAATAGCGGAAGCGTTAAATAAAGACTTGTGAACCACCTTGCGCTGGTATGTGAGGGCAAAGTAGATTGATTAATAACAAAGAGATACAAGCTTTTATAAGAATACAGGGGAATATGTAGGGTTATAACTAATAACCGTTTTACCATTGCTGTTGCGGTTCGGTACAGTGACGACTCGGGCAACTGCTCAATAGTGAGTCAGTTGTTTGTCCTTGCTGTCGCGCTGTTCTTGTCAGGTCAAAGGTCGCTGACCTTGACTTTCGCGTAACCTCCAGCAGTTGTTCAACCTCCGAGGGTTGACTCGCTGATGCTTCGATATGTTCTGCTTCGCTTCTGACTTGGTGTTTCGACACGACAGAGGCGCTTAAATCAATTGTTTCCAACAGTGGCTTCCCGAACAATGGTTGCCGAAGTGACACCTTCGCAACATCCACACTCATTATGAGAAACTCTCTTCAAGATGTGTGAAAAAAAATTGTAGTTAAAAAAGTTTCCATTTATTAGACTTATAAGACACCCAAAACCTCCCCAAATACAAGATAAGACATATATGTCTTGTATCCGGGCAATGACGGTATGATTTGGTAGAAACATAATTGAGGTGTGGTTGAATTCTGGAAACTTGTGTGTGGAGAGAAAAGCTAAATGATAGAAACAAAACCCACATAATTTATGTTAGAAACAGACACCACTTGTGTCTACCTAGGTATGTAGTGTGTTTTTGAGGCGCCTAAAAAATCAACTCAATCCCTATGTCTACCAGGGTATGTAGTGTGTGGTCAAGGGAGACTTTCTACATGATACCGGTTTAAGGGCATGTTCCTATGGCCCCTTATCAGGCACACCTCGTATCAGCTTCGCATTTTTGCCTGGTAAAATTTGCAAAGGTTTTTGGGTTTAGGGAATTTTCATTGTGTTGTGACGCGAGCCTGATAAGAGGCCGTAGGAACATGCCCTAAGCTGTATTGAAGCAGATAGCAATGGTGCAAAGCATCCATAGGTATATTATAATGGGTCATACCATACACCATACACCCTATGCTACCTAGTTATACACACAGCGCCCACTCCTGCTGGTACCAGTAGCTTGGACACCAGGCCTACCGGTAGCTGCACCCTCACCCCCATGATCCGCACCTTCCTCCTCATCGTCCTCCCCTCCCCCACCACCAACAGCACCCCGCTGCCTTCTTCTGTTACTATCACCTTCGCCGTCACTGCCGCCTTTACTGCCACGACCACCGCTGCTGCTGCTGCTGCTCCTGCTCCTGCTGCTGGTGCTACTCCCACTGCTGCTGCTGCTGCCGCCACACTTCCCCAGAAGCCAGTCCATCATGGAATGCCCGTGCTCGCTCGTCATCTCATGGAATGCAAATGCCACATTCAACTCCTCCTCTATCGCCCCCTCCATTGCCTCACTGCCCCCACCCTCTCCGCCCCCACCTTCTCCCCCCCCACTCTCACCGCTTTCCTCCCCTCCACCTGCACCTTCCTCTTCCTCATCCCCCTCTCCTCCTCCTTCTCCTCCTGTTCCTTCCCCTGCCCTGGAGTACTTACTCCCCCGTTCTAGTTCCTCCATCACCCCCTCTTTCTGCAACACAGCAATCCATCCCGACCGCCTGCCATCCCTCACCATCCTCCCATCCTCCCCCACCACTCCTCCCTGCTTCAACGCCTGAAAAATCCTCTCCGAAGCTGCCGGGGTTAGGTTCGGTATCCGGTCCGACAGGAAGCTCGGCCCGAGCCTCTTCTCCAGGCACGGGATCTGCCCAGCCTCGGAGCCTTTCGATCGGAGAATTTCGACCGCCCGTTCGACCGCCTCGGCACGCTGCTCGTCTTTTGGCATGTGGACGAAAAGGGTCGGCGGGAACTGCCGCCCGGAAGGCAGCGGCGAGTCAAACGCCTTTTTGACTCCACTGGAGATGATTATAGCGAGGGCTTGCAGGTCAATGGAGTGTGCTAGTAATGAAATGAAGTAACCGCCAGAAGAGGCACCCAGTGCGAAGAGAGGGAGGGTGCGCAGGTGGTGCTGCTGGCGCCAGGTGGTGAGAACTTGTACCACTGGAGGAATGTCCAGGGAGCGTTCGGGTGGGAAGGAGGTATCCCAACAGGTGGATAGGCTGGGGGGTGGGGGTGTAAGGGCAGCGGGTAGGGGAAGGGAGGTTGAGGGGGGAAGTTGGGTAGAGTGAGTGGCAGTTGGTGCTGCTGGCGCCAGGTGGTGAGAACCTGGACGACCGGGGGAATGTCCAGGGAACGGTCGGGTGGGAAGAACGTATCCCAACAGGTGGACAGGCTGGAAGACGGTGGGGGAGAGGGGAAGGGAAGGGGGGGATGGGGGGAGTGAGCAGCGGCTGCTGGCGCCAGGTGGTGAGAACCTGGACTACTGGGGGAATGTCAAGGGAACGTTCGGGTGGGAATGAGGTATCCCAACAAGTGGAAAGACTGGGGGTTGAGGGGGGGAGGGGAATGGAGAGGGAAGGGGGAAGGGGGGAAAGCGGACGAAAGGGGAGGGACAGAGAGGGTGAGGGGGAAAGGTGGGGAAGAGTGAGCAGCAGTTGCTGGCGCCAGGAGGTGAGAACCTGGACGACTGGGGGAATGTCAACGGAGCGATTGGGTGGAAAGGAGGTATCCCAACAGGTGGAAAGGCTGGTTGAAGGGGGGAAGAGGGGGATTGGGGAAGGGGAAAGGGGGGGAAAAAAGGCGAGAGGAGGGAGGGTGAGGGGGAAGATGGGGGAGAGCTAGCAGCCATTGCTGGCGCCAGATGGTGAGAACCTGGACGAATGGGGGAATGTCAAGGGAACGATTGGGTGGAAAGGAGGTATCCCAACAGGTGGAAAGGCTGGGGGATGAGGGTGGGGGAGGGGGGGAAGGCCGGAAGGGAGGGCGAGGGAGGAAGGTGAGGGAGCGTGAGGGGGGGCTCCTTCCAGGTAGTGCAGGTGAGAACCTGGATCTATGAGGAGCCAAGTGTAATGAGGTTATTTTTGAGACGTCTAAAAAATAACCTCATTACACGAGGGCGAGGGAGGAAGGTGAGGGAGGAAGGTGACTGGTGCCACGCATTGACCATGGCTCCTGTTTGGACCTCGATTACATGGGGGCGAGGGAGGACGGTGAGGGAGGACGGTGAGGGAGCAAGGTGAGGGAGCAAGGTGAGGGAGCAAGGTGAGGGAGCGTGAGGGGCGGTTCCTTCCAGGTAGTGCAGGTGAGAACCTGGGTCTCTGAGGAAATGTCAAGTTTTGAGACGTCTCAAAACTGTGCCGTGCCGAGAACCTAGATCACAGAGGAACTGTCACAAGAGCAGTCCGGTGGAAAGAGGAAGAGAGAGGGTCAAAGCCTGCTTGGAAATTGGTGCGACTTTTGAGAATTCTCAAAAGTCGAGAACCTAGATCACAGAGGAACTGTCACAAGAGCAGTCCGGAGGAAAGGAAAAGAGAGGGTAAAAGCCTGCTTGGAATAGCAATGACAGATACGCGCCTGTTGCACAAGAGCCATGTCTTCTGGCAGGCAGGCCCAGGCAGGACGGGCAGGAGCGGTGTGCCCATGATCATTAATAAAAGGCCGTAGGCTTTAGATATACCTTACAGAACATTCCCCAGCAAATAAAAGAGGATGTGAGGGGGGTGGGCCAGAAGCAATCAACCTACCCAGGACATGAGGGAATGGCGCGCCCACCTGGAAATGGCGATAACAGCTAGGCGTCTCTTCAATGCATGCTGCACGAGAGTCATGTCTTCAGGCAGGCCCAGGCAGGACGGGCAGGAGCAGTGGGTGTGGGGAGGGAATGCCAAGCCTACCTGGAAACAGCAATCACTGCAAGTCTCCTCTTGAGAGCATGCTGCACGAGCGCCATGTCTTCAGGCAGGCCCAGGCAGGACGGGCAGGCACGGTGGGGCGGCCAGAAGTGCGTGGCTCGGTGCGTGCACCCGTGTGCAAAGAACACCACTCCTGCCAATGGCAGGTCGCCACGTGGCACCTGCCACACCACCTCCCTGCCGTGGATGGTTTCATATACTGGCACCAGTGCCGGCGCCCCTCCTTCCTCCTCCCTCTCCTCCTCCCCCTCCTGCCGCTTACGTGCTTTTGTCGGCGCCTCTCCTTCCCCCTCCTCATCCCCCTCCTCCTCCTCCTCCTCTTCCCGCTCCCGTGCTTTCTCCTGTCCTTCCTCCTCGTTTTCCTCCCCAGAAGCACCTTTCTCTGTCCCCTTTTTGACACCCTGCCTCTTTCCTTCCTTCTCCTCCTCATCTTCCTCGTCATCTGCCCCAGGATCACTCTCAACACCCTTACGTTTATTAGATGGCTGTTGAGCCGACTCCAAACTCTTCCCCTTTTCCTCTTCCTCCTCCTCCTCTTCCCTTGCACCTACGTCACTCTCACCACCCTTCAGCATCCCTTTCGCTTTCCCTCCCCCACTCTCCACCCCTTCTTCTCCCCCCCCCTCCTCACCCTCCTCCTCCTCCTCATCGTACCGCACTGCACTCCTCTTCATCCTCTTCTGACCCTCTTCTTTCGTCCTCTCCTCCAACTCACCACCATCACCATCACCGTCATCATCATCATCACCATTCCTCTTACTCCCCTTTCCCTCACCCCCATCACCGCTCCCATCCCCCACCCCATCGTCATAATCAAACCCCTCCCTGCTTCCCCCTTTCCTCTCCTCCTTACTCCCCTCCTTGTTAGTCTCCTCCGTGCCAACCCCCTCCTCGTTAATCCCCTCCTCTCGTCTCCTCTCCTCTCGACCATCATCATCATCCTCACCGCCCTTATGCTCCACCCCATCGTCATAATCGAACCCTTCAGTCCGCCGCTTCTTATCTGCAGCCCTCCTCTTTCCCTCCTCCTCACTCTCTCTTTCCTCACTCTCTCCCTCCTCACTATCCTCACCATCAGCCCCCCTCCCACCAGCAACCCCTTTTCCCCTTTCTCGTGCACTGCCCCTCGCTCCATCCCCTCCTCCCTCCTCCTCGTTCTCGTTATTGCCGTCCTCGTATGTGTCTCTAGGAAGCTTCGACTTGGCTTCCTTCCTCCTCGTTCTCTGCTTCAACAGTCCCTCCTCGCTCGCCGTCTCCCCCTCTTCCGCCTCTTCTTTCCCCGCTTCCGCTTCCGCCTCCGTCTCCGCCTCCGTCTCCGCCTCCGCTCCCCCTTCTCCCGCTCCCCCTGCGCGCAACAGCTCTGACCGACCCACAGACTGCCCATCAGAATCCGGCCGAGGAAAAGCAGACCCCTTTTCCGTTACCGTCTCAGTTACCGTCTCGTCACCAGATGACTCCGTCTCAGCCTCCGACCGAGAACGGGTGGATTCGTTCTCGATGAGATCACCCTCACCTTTTTCAGCCGAAACTAAACCGGACGAATGTGCTTGTATCGAGGTTGATGGTATAGGATTAAACGGCAGCTTAGACTCCCCCGTTAATTCCGGTCTAGGCATCACATTAAGCTCCGCAGACGCCGGGAATTTGACCTCTGCCACGTCAGCATCTCCAATTCTCGCGCCAGTTCCGTCACCGGTTATTTTCTGATTGAACCGCTGCTTCGATATAGTCCCTTCTCCAAAGTCTATAGTGCGATGGTGCCGGCCGTGGCGGTGGCGGTGGTGCCGCCGGGTGTGCGGCGACTCTTTGGAAATTAAGATGAACGCCGCGAGAAAGAAAGCCGCGAGAACGTAGGTCGCGCCGCGAGCTCTCCGCACGGAGATGTTATAGCTCGCCGGCGCGACCCGGGGACTCCTAGGAACGTACATAATAGAGGGAGGGAAAATCGACGGAGAGGCTAAGAAGTGCGCTGGCTCCTACGTTTGGAAATGATTCATGAAGGCTCGGAAATTGCTACGGCAGGTTCACTTATAGACTGCGACGTTTCTGCACGCAATCAATCGGAATAGAGACGCGCAGCTGAAAGAAAAAAGAACGAAAAGATGGTCCAGTTGCAGGCTCTAGGGACTACAACAGTATTCTAGTCCCGCTGAATCTGCGACAGCCAGACGGAATTTGTGGAATGGTGATGTCAGACGCAGAGCTGACTGGCGGGAAAACCTGGGGATTTGCGGCTGGGACGGATTCGCGACGAGCTAACGAATGGATTTATGTTTTTGCGAAATTCATTACCACTCGCCATTACCGAATCTTCGAACTCCAAACTTGAGAGAAACACAGGAGTGCATGTTACAGACGCGGACGTTTTGGTTGACAAGGGAAACTGTGCTGCAGTTGGGACAATTTCTATAACAATCTCTCATTATGAAGCAGAGCAAGGTTAGGGAAAACGTTTTCTTCCAGTCCACCTAATCACGGTAGAAATGTGCCTACATACAGGTTACAGCGGAACATCCGGGTGCAACCTGAGCCAGCCACCAAATCCCAATCTAAACACCTACTTATGAAAACTTCCATCGCGGGACGTCTCACCACGACGCAAGTGCGCTACAGCTGCTCAGAAAATGTATGAGCAGAGCACAAAACCTTACGAGCAGAGCTACACAGCCTAAGCAAGAGGCATAAATTAACGAAGGTCGCGGAAGGGGATTGGAAGGGCACAAGACGACTAGGCCTGCAAATGCAACCATGCTGCTGGTGAAGGCGGTTGGTGTACGTACGGAGTGTGAGGGAAACAAGCAGAGAGCGGAAGGATTGTGAGAAACAGAAGCGAGAGATACTGCTGCTGCTACTGATGCTTTTGTTGCTGATACTGCTGCTGCTGCTGCTGCTGCTGCTGCTGCTGCTGCTGTTGCCGCTGCTGCTGATGCTACTACTGTAGCTAGTTTCCCAGATGGACGACATTTCAATTGGATGCACTGTCACTGCTGCTCCGTTCCACCCTCTGCTACTCAACCAGCCTACCCCATTCCAGACCCCCTCGTTCCCTCCCAAACATCCTTGTTTTGTCCCCAGCATCCTCGCTTCGCCCCATATTCCTACAACCATTCGGCCCGTGCCCCCTGTGCTGCCTGTGTGAGCTGCGCTGCCCGTGCTGCCCTGTGCTGTCCATACTCTGACAACCTCCTGCACAGCATACTCAGCAGGAGACCTTCTCTTCTCCTGCTGCCGCCTTCCTGCCCTGGGGCATCCATGGACATTCCTGCCTCTTCCCCCTCGTGTCCCCCACCACAACTCACCTGCCCCCCTACCTCCACGGCCACTCTCCCCCCAATTCTCCCGCCTCCTCAAACACAGAGCCCCAGCACCGTCCCAGTCAGTTGCGAGAACTCCTTTCCCTGCCCACCTGCTCCCCACCCTTCCATTTCATCCTCCAGCCTCCTCATCCCCTCCATTTCCCTCTCCAGCCTCCTCATCCCCTCCCTTTCCCTCTCCAGCCTCCTCATCCCTTCCCTTTCCCTCTCCAGCCTCCTCATCCCCTCCCTTTCCCTCCACAGCCTCCTCATCCCTTCCCTTCGCCCCTCCAGAGACACAAAATCAACCCTTCACCCACGATCCTCTCCCCCCTCCCCCCCCCCATCATCTTCCCTCACAGATCGAACGACCCCTTGGGAATGATGTTGAGCCGCATGAGCGTCTCAGCGGCCGTCTTCCTGCCCTGCCCCGTGGCCGTCGTCATGAACCGCCCCAGCGCCTCCTCCCCTCATCCCCCCTCCTCACCCCCCGTTCAAAGGTCAAACGACCCCTTGGGGAGGATGTTCAACCTCATGAGCGTCTCAGCGGCCGTCTTCCTGCCCTGCCCCGTGGCTGTCGTCATGAACCGCCCCAGCGCCGTCACTGCAGGCTGGGAGTACTTGGGCGCCCGGTACTTCTTAATTGCAAACACCTTCTCCAGGATATACACCGCCCACTTGGTCAACTCCTTGGTCCGCCCCACCACCCCCGCTGCCGCTTCGATCACGTCTAGTTTGACTAAGAGGTCTGCTGCTCGCTCGTGGTCCCCTTCGTCTGCTAACAGGGTCGCCACCGAGGCTAGGCAGACCTCGGCTACCCGATTCTCGCTCCGTCGAACCAGCTCTAGTAGGATCGGGACGATGTCGCCTTCGACGAGGCAGAAGGTGGATTCCAGGCTGCATTTCCCGCCGTGCACCTTGCAGGATCGGAGTTTGTCTGTTCCCGTTGTCACAGGGCTGGCTCCCGAGCCTGTCCCGCCGGTGCTCGCCGAGGCTCGCGAGTTGGACCGGGAGAAGTTGAGCTTCCAGGTCATGGCCTTACCGAGCCTGCGGTCGAGCGAAGTTTGGTCAACCAGCTTTGGAGTTGAATGCGAGAGGTTCCCAAGAAGCACAGCAGAGGGGATCCGCATGACATCTGGCCCCATCTTGAGATAATGCACGGCCAGATGAATCACCCCCAGCCGAGCCACTATCTGCTGCGCTTCTATATCATCCGGATCGGCGAGCTTCGACAAGCCAGACAGGATCGCCTCTTGCAACCGAGCCGAGCTCGCAGCATTGGAGCTCCCCGGACCTGACGACGAGGTGGGCCCCGCCCCCGGGTTCAAATTCAGGAACTTGTGCATGAGAGTGAACACCTGCTCTTCAACCCGAACCAGTGGCCGCATCTGCTTGTTCCCCGCCATTGTCCCAAGCACAATCACTATCGCCTCCCGCTCCTCCCCAGGGAGTGGCCGTGCGAGGAGCGTGGCGAGAGTCTTGACTACTTCTGGGGGAGCGCACATCATTTCGGCAGCGTTGTGCTCCTGGCACAGGTGCCCCAGCAGCAGCAGCGCCGACGACCGCAAGCTCCCCGCCGCAAAGTGCGACGCGCTCTCCTGTAACACCTCGAAAATGGCGGTAACCGCACCGTCATCCTCCATCACCGCAGCCCGCATGGACTTGCTCTCCTTCGCCATGCACTCCAGAGTCCTCACCGCGTAGTCCCGGTTCGTCTGCGGGCCCGCCCGCAGCATCGTGATCAATCTAACGGCCGTCCCGTCCTCGTCCAGCGCGTCCAAATCCTGGTCGTCCATTGCCAGATTCGCCAGGGTCGCCTGCGCGGCATTCTTCACTTCTGCAGACCCGCGAGCAAGGGCTTTAACGAGCGCAGGGATCACGCCTGCCTTGGCCAGAGCCATGCGGTTGAGATCGGTGTGGGAGAGGTGCTCTATGGCTCGAGCAGCGGCCGCCTTGCCCTCTGGGGGCCCGTCGTTGAGCAGGGCGACGAGAGGCGGCAGCACCCCGCACTGCACGAGGGAGACGCGGTGGGCCTTGTTGACTCCCCACGTCATGACCCCGTCTGCCATCGTCATTCGGGTTTCCATGTCGCTCTCTGGAGGGGGGAGGGGGGGAGGGGGGGAGGGGAGGAGTGAGGGAGAGAGGAGAAGATAGGCGAGTGGGGGAGAGACCTAGGGGTTGGAACCGACCATTTTGGACGCGTCTCAAGCCGTCTCAAGCACAGCTGACGACTCCAAGGCCACGATCCGGTAACCTTGTTTTGAGTCGACTCAAAATAAGCCGTCTCAAGCACAGCTGACAACTCCAAGGCCACGATCCGGTAACCTTGTTTTGAGTCGACTCAAAATAAGCCGTCTCAAGCACAGCTGACAACTCCAAGGCCACGATCCGGTAACCGTCTACCCAGCTGAGCAGCTTTATCATCTCCACCACCCTCACCGCCCCCCCCCTCACCGCTTCCCCCCTTGCCTGCCCCACGCCCCTCCCCACCTCCCTCCCTCACACTCTCTCCCTTGCACTCACCCACTCTCACTCATTTCAACCACTAGCTCACTCGCTCTCTCACATACCCACACTAACGCAGACCCACAGAACAGACCCAGACGCAGACCCAGACACCTACCTACAGCCACCCAACCCCTTGCCCCCACACCCACCTGGTTCAAACAATACGATGAGGGCTTGAACATGCCCACGGACGCCATCTGAATGGCGACGTAGGGGATACCTGCCCCACCCATCCCCAACCCCACACCCACCTGGTTCAAGCAGCACGACGAGTGGCTTGAACATGCCAACGGACGCCATCTGAATGGCGACGTCGGGAATGATTGCCACACCCTTCCCCCTTCTCCCTCGCACACACCCTCTTACCCACTCCCACGCACCTGTCCCCCACCTCCGAAGCATCAATCCTCCCACCCACACCCCACCTGGTTCGAGCAGGACCACGAGCGGCTTGAACATGCCGACGGACGCCATCTGAATGGCGACGTAGGGGTCGTCGCGCTGCCTGCCAAGCCATCCGAAAGGCGACCCATTCCTCACATACCCACTCCCGCAAACCCACAGACTCTCACATTGACCCACACACTGAACCACACATCTACACACGCACCTGGCTTGAGCAGCACAACGAGCGGTTTGAACATGCCCACAGACGCCATCTGGATGGCGACGTAGGGGTCGCGCTGCCTGCCAAGCCATCCGAAAGGCGACCCATTCCTCACATACCCACTCCCGCAAACCCACAGACTCTCACATTGACCCACACACTGAACCACACACCTACACACGCACCTGGTTTGAGCAGCACAACGAGCGGTTTGAACATGCCCACGGACGCCATCTGGATGGTGACGTAGGGGTCGTCGCGCTGCCTGCCCCGCCATCTGAAAGGCGACCCATTCCTCACATACCCACTCCCGCAAACCCACAGACTCTCACATTGACCCACACACTGAACCACACACCTACACACGCACCTGGTTTGAGCAGCACAACGAGCGGCTTGAACATGCCCACGGACGCCATCTGGATGGCGACGTAGGGGTCGTCGCGCTGCCTGCCCCGCCCCCCTCCACCTCCTTCAGGCACCCTCTTACCCACCCCCACGCACCTCCTTCCGACACACCCACAGCCCACCTGGTTCGAGCAGCACAACGAGCGGCTTGAACATGCCAACGGACGCCATCTGAATGGCGACGTAGGGGTCGTCGCGCCAGTACGTCTCCAGCACGGCCTCCAGCAGCGCGCCCTTCTCGTCCTCCTGGTGCCAGTTGAGCAGCTTTATCATCTCCACCACCCCCATCGCGTCAGTCACCGCCCCCCGCAGCGCCGGGAAGCGCGAGAGCTCTAGGATCACCTGGATGGCTGGCGTCACGTCGGCTGTATCGTGCGTGATGAGGTGGATCATGGGGGGAATGCCCCCCGCGTCTGATATGGACGTCTGGAGAAAGGGGAAAGGGGAGAAGGGGACGGGGGGAAAAGATGGGGAGAAGGGAGGGCGGTGTTTGAGTGGACTCACCACCCCCATCGCCTCAGTCACCGCCTCCCGCAGCGACGGGAAGAGCGAGAGCTTCAGGAGCAGCCACATTTCTAGGAACTACACTAGAATCGTTTCTAGAGTCTATATTGGAGCCATTTCCGATCTGAACGGCACGTGATGGTGAGACCACAAGGTACCAGAAGCGAAGGTTCTCTTTCGCTTTCGGACAACGCGCTTCAGTATAACTCAGGACATGTTATTCGACTCAAAAAAGGAACAAAATAAAGATCCAAATGAGCGCGTTTCACTATAACCCACGGCTTGGGAAATTTACTTACGGCTTCTGCCTCTCCCAGGCTGGCGATGTTCCGCAGCACCGTCACCGCGCCCTCCCTTTTTATTCAGGCGCCTAAAAGATAAAAGGAAGAACAACAACTCACGGCTTCTGCCTCCCCCAGGCTGGCAAGGTTCCTCAACACCGTCACCGTGCCCTCCCTTATTTTTATAGGAGACTAAAAGAGAAAAGAAAAATCAACAACTTACGGCTTCTGCCTCTCCCAGGCTGGCAATGTTCCTCAACACCGTCACCGTGCCCTCCCGCACCGGCCCCGCGCCTCTCTCTGTCACCAGCCGCACCAGCGGCACCACTGCACCAATCTCCGCGAGCTGCGCGGCGTACTTCTTATCCTGCGACGACAGCTGCTGCATCGCCTCCACCGCCTCCTCCTCCCTCTCCCCTCCGCTCGCCTCCTTCGGCTCCTCCTTCGGCGGCGGCTCCGGGCCTTTCTTTTTCTTTTTCGCCGCCGCTTTTTTCTCCTCCTCTTTCTTCCGCTCCTCCTCCGCCTTTGCCGCTTCCTCCGCCAGAATCGCCTCCGCAGCTTCCCCCCCCGCGGCCAGCGCGGCAGCTCGCGCTTCCGCCGCCGCCGCGGCCTCCGCTGCTCGTTGCTCCATGCCGTCTCTTAATGTGCGCGACGCTTCGTCCAGCGTCTTTCGGTTCAGTGCGTCGTAACTCTCCTCTATGCCCTTCCGGATCTCCACGTTACACACCAGCTCCACGCTTTTGAGGTGCTTCCCGGACTTGGGACACACGCGCTTCCCCTTCGCGAAAAAGTTTTCGATCGCGTTGCGATTGTACGTGTCGCCAGTTTCGACCAGGGTAACCGGATCTCGCATCACCTCGCCCGTCATCGCGCACTTAAAGTTATCCGGAACCGCCATCCCGAGCTCCTCCCGGAGCCGCAGCGCGAGGCGGGAAAACGTCTGCGTGATCGGCGCTTCACTGGAAATACTCGCAAGGCTGACGAGCGTTTTTAACTCCGTTAGCTTATCTACGTCCATCCACCGCTCCTCCTTCTCCGCTACAAGCAGATCCCGCTGCACTTCCTCTTTAAGCACATCCGACTCCGACGACGGCATTTCTAGGAATTTCAACACGCGTTCCACCAGCTTCGTCGCGACCTTCTTGCTGTTCTTCGTCACGCCATCCTCCAACGCCAGCGACAGCTCCGCAACTTCCGGCTCGGAATCGAACGTCGCGACCCGCATTCGGCCGCGGAGGTCCGTCAGCCGATTCGCGACGTCCGTCGGTAGCGACGACATGATGCTCAGGACCGGCATGAGGTTCAGATCGTGACCCACCTCCTGAACCATCCGCTGCAAGTCGCCGACTAATTTGTCCGTGTCGAAGATTAAGAACAGCCGGCTGCACTCCGTGTGGTCCTTAGTCAACTTCTTAAGATCGTCCAGAGCCGTTTTCAGCCGCTTCATGCCGTTTAGGGCTTCCGCTGACGACTTGGTCAGGTCGCGTTTCGTGTTGAGCTGGGACAGGACATCGCGAAGCTCGCCTAGGTAAAACGCCATTGTTAAGAAACTCGCTGTGTCGACCGGAACTTTCGGCGCGAGTCGCCTGGTCTCCTCGATGGTCTTTAACATCGAGTCTACCATGGACGCCAAACTAGGGTTTGACGAACTCATGGCGACTTGTCTGGTACACTAATCCTAAGGATGCGTTAATACTAACGGAGATGATATTTAGAAATATCGCTGGACTTCGAACAGGCTAATGTTGGGATGATATCAGATGCGACGGACCTTGCGTTTCTGGCAGTGCTGACGCTGATGCTGACGCGTATGTTATGTCTGGTCTATCGGACACGGTTTAGGGGAATAAAACGGGTACGGACGAGGCGCCATAGGGACAATGCAGGATGATGTAAATAAATAGAAATCGGTAAGTAGTGAGTGAAACCTAAGGTGACCTAATAATCCTACTGATAATCCCTAGATCGGCACGACCCCGGAGCTCTAGCAGTATAACACGTGCCAAAATTGAAGAGCCAACGGATCAACTGCTCTGGAAGTAAGAGGCGAGAATAAAGGAGATAAGAAAGTCGTTGTACGGCGGATAAAGCGGAGATGGCACGAGCACACGAGTGTTATCTAAACATGGCAGGCAGGCTGATTGATGGGCCAACAACAGCCGAGGTTTCAAGGCTTGTCGCAGAACATTTTGGCTCATTACCCTACCTGACCAGTCTCTTTTATCTAAACAATCGCGCTGAAACGCAAACAACCTCATTCAGCCGCAAAAAAAAAGGTAAAGCGGAGCGAAAATATGTCATTGCCAGATTGGTGAGGGGTGGACGGAAGAAGGGAGGGAGGCAGTCTTGGGACGGGTGCGGGTGGTCGTTGGCGGAAACACTGTACAGTCCTGGGGTGCAGGGGGGAGGTTGGGCGCAGCGTGCGTAAAGGGCGCAAATGGCAATGGGGGACGACAACGACCAGTTTTCTCTCTCTGCTGCCTTACGTGCTTCTGGGGGCCGCGGATGAGGCGGGAGTTCGGGGAACGACCGGCGAAGAACGCGCGGAGACTTCAAGGTTGGTCACTGTGCTATCGTGTTGACCTGACAGGGAAAAGCCTGGCGAGTGCGCGAGTTAAAAGTAATGTGGTAACCGATCTTCGAGGCGCAGGACTGATTTCCAGTCTGTAATTTCGAGACGCAGACTGCACTCGTTGCGGGGTGAAGTCAATGGCGACAGTGCGAACCGGCCAGCGACAGCTGTGCGAAGAAGCAGGCAAGGCAGTAGTGATGACAACACCTCCGTGTAAATACACCCCAGGTCGAACTTTGGTGCAATGGTATAGATTTCAAAAGACGTGTCAGATCAAGGTACCAAAAAAAAAAAAAAAAAACTTCTAATAGCTTGACACCGAACTCAACCGCTTATTAATGAGATTCACCGTGACTGGATAATGAACTGCATTGCAAGGAACTACACGACCCGCACGCTCCTGGCCTTGTTCCCCCGCTAATGTCGGTATGGCCAGGGATCTGGTCCCTCCAAACCGCGTTTGATCACCTCGATTTTGCCGCTCCTTCCGCCGACATTCCCTCTTCCTCCATATTCCACACACACACCTTCAAAACAGCTACTACTCCAGATCCTGTAGTTGCACTTTTTTCTCAGCGATAAATGACTGCTAGATTCTAACGTTCGACGCCATGGCCCAGGTTGCGGATCTCCTACAGTCGCTAAGGGATGCGTTGAGTTCCTCTCCTGACGGCTGGCCAGTACCTCTGCCGGTAGTCGTCGCTGTGGTCGCTGGAGGGATCCTCCTGCTTACCTTTGTTTCTCTCAACGCGAAGCCTCGAAGAAAAGGTACACTTTCTATTGTTCTGAAGCTGGTGAATCTAGGTTCGATAAAAAAAGGCCCGAGCGTCCGCGTTCGTTGTCACATCCACACTAGATTCACGTCTCAGAACCCAGACGGGGTATCCCGTGACGCGTTTCAAATCAAGGAGGCGATCGACCGTCTGCTCCATTCACCCGTTTCACTGACTGGGGAACGATGGCGGTGATCTTAACTGATATCGAGCGGTTATCGCGTTAAAGACGCTCAATAGTCGTATGCCATCCTCATTCTTTTCCCGTCTTCTCCCCTCCGTCGCTCCTCCAGTAGCTCTACATCCTGAGGAGTGGCGCAAGTTCCAGATTATCGATCGCACCAACATCACCCACAACGTCGTCAAGTTCACCTTCTCGCTTCAGACGCCCGACACGGTGCTCGGCCTTCCCATCGGACAACACGTCGTCCTGCAGTAAGAATGTCAACGCGTTTAGAAAAGTCAACGCGTTGCGTTGACCTTTTGTAATCCTCGGTTGCTCCCTCCAGACGCCCGACACGGTGCTCGGCCTTCCCATCGGACAACACGTCGTCCTGCAGTAAGAATGGCTTGCAGTAGGAATGATTCTTGAGACGCCTCGAACATCGATCGCACCAACATCACCCGCAATGATGTCGTCAAGTTCAACTGATAACTTTTCAACGTTAAACCGCGTGTATTGAGACGTCTCTATCGTGGACCAGAGCAACCTCGCCAGACCAACCTCACCAGAGCAACCTCACCAGAGCAACCTCACCAGAGCAACCTCACCAGAGCAACCTCACCAGACCAACGTCAACAATGGCTTTAAAAGATCGCTTCTCGCTCCTGGCTTGCAGCTCTCCATCGATCAACTCTGAGTTGACTTTGGAGTTGACTCAAAAGTCAACTCGCTTCTCGCTCCAGCTTCCAGCTCTCCTTCGAACGACTCCGAGTTGACTTTGGAGTCGACTCTGAACCCCAAACCCTAAACCTTCGAACATCTCCTCCTGCTGATTCTCTACATGTGATTCCTCACCCCCTGTTCTGCCGTATTGTTTCACTGTCCCCTCAGTTTCTTTCTTTCTGTCGTACGCGTTCCCTCCCTCATCCGTCTCCCGGACCAGGGGGAAGGACGAGAGCGGGGAGGAGTTTACGCGGAAATACACGCCAACAACGCTCGACACCGATGTCGGATGTGTTGACATCGTCATCAAGTTGAAGTGCTCAAGGCTTTTTATGCGTCTCAGTATTCGTCTTTTGAGACGTGTCAAAGCCAACAACGCTCGACACCGATGTCGGATGCGTGGATATCGTCATCAAGTTGACGCGCTGCCATTCCCCTTCCCATCCCGAGTTTAGGAATTCTCTAAAGTGACTCAGGAATAACCGCACCTCCCCACACCCGCTTCCCTCCTGTGATGAGTCGACTAAAAAATCGACTAATCACACTCAGGCAAAACCGCCCCTCCCCACACCCGCTTCCCTCGTGTGATGAGTCGACTAAAAAATCGACTAATCACACTCAGGCAAAACCGCCCCTCCCCACACCCGCTTCCCCTCTCCCCCCCACACCACCAGACCCCAACGGCGCCATGCCTCAGTACCTCAACAAGCTGGAAGTCGGCCTCCTGCTCCTCACTCGACTTAAAAGCATACGAATCATCTCTGCATGCCTACTCGCCCGTTTCTTCCCTTCATTCTGCCACATCTACCCCAACGGCGCCATGCCTCAGTACCTCAACAAGATGGAAGTCGACAACTGCTCCTCATCCGACTCAAAACAAACTGGATAATTTGTTTACACCCCCTCCCACCCCCCCTCTTCTCCAGAATTACCCCAACGGCGCCATGTCTCAGTACCTCAACAAGATGGAAGTCGGCAACTTCGTCGCCATGCGAGGGCCCAAGGTGAGGAGCGGTGGAGAGAGGTGAGGAGCGGTGGAGAATGTGAAAAGAGAGGATTTTTTGTCCTTCGCCCAATCTATCCCGATACACGTCTTGAGGGCACCTCTCGCTACAATACCATGTCATTTGTATATTTATGCTTCAACGATCTACTTTTTTGGAATCATGGTGACATTTGAGTCGACTCACTCCCCCCATTCCTGCCTTCCCTGCCCCCATTCCCTCCTCTCTTCCCCACCCAATCTCCCCCCCAGGGTAAATTCAAGTACCGCCCCAACATGTGCCGTGCGATGGGCATGATCGCAGGAGGCACCGGGGTGACTCCCATGTTCCAGGTGGGTTGGAAGTGGTGCTGCTGTGTTTCACGTGGGTTGGGAATGGTGCTGCTGTGCATCAGGTGTGCCTTGTGTATTGATTCAAAAGGCCTGCTTGCAGGAGGCACCGGGGTGACTCCTGGTTGCAGGTGGGTAAGGGATGGCTCTGCTGTGCTTCAGATGGGTTGGAAGTGGTGCTGCTGTGTTCCAGGTGGGTTGGGAATGGTACTGCTGTGCGTCAGGTGTGACTTTTGTACTGATTCAAAAGGCCTGCTTGCAGGAGGCACCGGGGTGACTCCTGGTTGCAAGAGCCATTCTGGAAAACCCTGCAGACCACACCAATGTCATTTCCTCTCTCCCCACTCCTCCCCATTCTCCCTTGCCCCTTGCCCCCTTCTCCCTGCATCCTACCCCAACCAGGTAGCACGAGCCATTCTGGAAAACCCTGCAGACCGCACCAGCATCTCGCTCATTTTTGCCAACGTCACAGCCGACGATATCCTGCTCAAGGTGGGTGCAGAGCTCCCAACACATGTGCTGTGCAGAGCTCAACACACAAGCGCTGTGATAGACTCTGTGCTGTGGCGCTTGTTACAGCGCCTGAGGTTTTGCTTTCTTGGGTCCCTGGTGATGTTTACTGGAGTGCTGGGAGGGATTGCGCCCGAGGTCTGGCTTGCTAATCTCTGAACATCGCTTTTGAGGCGCCTCACCAGTTGTTTACTGGAGTGCCGAGAGTGCTCCTGAGGTCTCGCTTGCTATTTCCTGAGCATTGCAAACCAAACGCACCACATCAGCGGACCCTTTTGTTTTTAGGCGCCTCAGAAATAGAGCGTGCCTGAGGTCTGGCTTGCTTTTTTCTGACCATCGCAAACCAAGCGCACCACATGAGCGTCCAATGGATCCCCACCAATTTCTACGCGAAGGTTTTTTATAAGCAAGCCTACCACTACATGCAGTATTTCTTAACTAAATTAAGCTGCTGCCACGCAAAGTCATGTCTCTCAAGTGGGGATCTATTGGTTTGGCTTGCCTTTTTGTGAACATCGCAAACCAAGCGCACCACATGAGCGGACCGGTTTGTGTCTCATGTCTTCCTTCCCCTTGGGATTTGCCACCTCAGCTCCTCACCCCCTCCGCCGTTCTGCGCCCCTCTGCCCCTCCGCCCTTCCGCTCCCCTCTGCCCCTCCGCCCCTCTGCCCCTCTGCCCCTGCGCCCTTTCTCCCTGTTACAGGACGAGCTAGAGGCGCTGCATAAGTAAAGTTTTGACACGTGTAGTTTTGAGACGCATCAAAGCTTCCAACCCTCTGCCCCTGCGCCCTATCTCCCTGTTACAGGACGAGCTGGAGGCGCTGCATAAGTACAGTTTTGACACGTCTAGTTTTGAGACGCATCAAAGCTTCCAACCGTCTGCCCCTGCGCCCTATCTCCCTGTTACAGGACGAGCTGGAGGCGCTGCATAAGTACAGTTTTGACACGTCTAGTTTTGAGATGAATCAAAGCTTCCAACCCTCTGCCCCTACGCCCTATCTCCCTGTTACAGGACGAGCTGGAGGCGCTGCATAAGTACAGTTTTGACACGTCTAGTTTTGAGACGCATCAAAGCTTCCAACCCTCTGCCCCTGCGCCCTATCTCCCTGTTACAGGACGAGCTGGAGGCGCTGCATAAGTACAGTTTTGACACGTCTAGTTTTGAGACGCATCAAAGCTTCCAACCCTCTGCCCCTACGCCCTATCTCCCTGTTACAGGACGAGCTGGAGGCGCTGCATAAGTACAGTTTTGACACGTCTAGTTTTGAGACGCATCAAAGCTTCCAACCCTCTGCCCCTGCGCCCTATCTCCCTGTTACAGGACGAGCTGGAGGCGCTGCATAAGTACAGTTTTGACACGTCTAGTTTTGAGACGCATCAAAGCTTCCAACCCTCTGCCCCTACGCCCTATCTCCCTGTTACAGGACGAGCTGGAGGCGCTGCATAAGTACAGTTTTGACACGTCTAGTTTTGAGACGCATCAAAGCTTCCAACCCTCTGCCCCTGCGCCCTATCTCCCTGTTACAGGACGAGCTGGAGGCGCTGCATAAGTACAGTTTTGACACGTCTAGTTTTGAGACGCATCAAAGCTTCCAACCGTCTGCCCCTGCGCCCTATCTCCCTGTTACAGGACGAGCTGGAGGCGCTGCATAAGTACAGTTTTGACACGTCTAGTTTTGAGATGAATCAAAGCTTCCAACCCTCTGCCCCTACGCCCTATCTCCCTGTTACAGGACGAGCTGGAGGCGCTGCATAAGTACAGTTTTGACACGTCTAGTTTTGAGACGCATCAAAGCTTCCAACCCTCTGCCCCTGCGCCCTATCTCCCTGTTACAGGACGAGCTGGAGGCGCTGCATAAGTACAGTTTTGACACGTCTAGTTTTGAGACGCATCAAAGCTTCCAACCCTCTGCCCCTACGCCCTATCTCCCTGTTACAGGACGAGCTGGAGGCGCTGCATAAGTACAGTTTTGACACGTCTAGTTTTGAGACGCATCAAAGCTTCCAACCCTCTGCCCCTGCGCCCTATCTCCCTGTTACAGGACGAGCTGGAGGCGCTGCATAAGTACAGTTTTGACACGTCTAGTTTTGAGACGCATCAAAGCTTCCAACCCTCTGCCCCTGCGCCCTATCTCCCTGTTACAGGACGAGCTGGAGGCGCTGCATAAGTACAGTTTTGACACGTCTAGTTTTGAGACGCATCAAAGCTTCCAACCCTCTGCCCCTACGCCCTATCTCCCTGTTACAGGACGAGCTGGAGGCGCTGCATAAGTACAGTTTTGACACGTCTAGTTTTGAGACGCATCAAAGCTCCCAACCCTCTGCCCCTACGCCCTATCTCCCTGTTACAGGACGAGCTGGAGGCGCTGCATAAGTACAGTTTTGACATGTCTAGTTTTGAGACGCATCAAAGCTTCCAACCCTCTGCCCCTACGCCCTATCTCCCTGTTACAGGACGGGCTGGAGGCGCTGCATAAGTACAGTTTTGACATGTCTAGTTTTGAGACGCGTCAAAGCTTCCAACCCTCTGCCCCTACGCCCTATCTCCCTGTTACAGGACGAGCTGGAGGCGCTGCATAAGTCAGCGCCTGACCGGTTCTCCATCTACTATGTGCTGAACGAGGTATGTAATGAACGAGGTATGTAATGAACGAGGTATGTACTGAACGAGGTATGTAATGAACGAGGTATGTACTGAACGAGGTATGTACTGAACGAGGTGGGGGGGGGAGTGGGCTTGGTGATTCCGCCTATTATCAAAGGGGTGGGGGGGGGAGTGGGCTTGGTGATTCCGCCTATTAGCAAAGGGGTGGGGGGGGGAGTGGGCTTGGTGATTCCGCCTATTAGCAAAGGCTACTTCCCCACACCTTCCTGTTAGAATCTTAGGTGAGAATGGTTGACTAGGAAGCAAGGAAGGGTACAAGTAGAATGTCGAGAGAATTGTGTACCCCCTAAGGCTAAACCCACTATAGCCTAGACAAATGTAAACACATGAACTAAGCCTAGATATAACTAAGCATATATGTTTGACACACCCCCATAGGCGAAGTGGGGGATAGCCAGAACAAGTAATGGTCACAAGACCAGTCAAGAAAAGCAAAGCAAGCTCAGGGTGGATCACAAAGTCACCACACAGTCCGAGCACAAGCAAAGGGCCAAAAGGCCAGTTCACATGCAGAGTTATATATAGTGAACAAACAATACAGTGATCATACTCTAACAAGTGCAAGCATGCAGGTATATAGATAGATCACAGTACAGGCAGAGTCAGGCAGTAAGTAAGCGAGGCAAAGTAGGCACAAGGCCTAACACAGTAACAAAGCGCTGATGGTCACCAGGCGGAAGTGCCTTGGTGAAGACATCAGCAGTGTTGTCCCGAGTGGCCACGTACGCTAGACGAAGCTGACCACGCTGCTGCAACTCTCGAGCAAGAAAGTATCGCAGAGCTATGTGCTTCGTTCTGTGCTCCAGTCTGTGCTCCTGACACAAGGCTATCATGGCCTTGTTGTCTACGTACAGGACTGGAGGCGAACGAGGCTGCTCTCCCAGGTCGGTCAGCAAGTAGGTGAGCCAGCGTAGCTCCTGAGCAGCCATGGCTCCAGCGTAGATCTCAGCCTCACAGTTGGAGCTGAGAACTGAAGACGAGCGGGTAGACCGCCAAGAAACCGAGCCGGACCCAAGGCTGAAGGTGTAACCCTGCGACGACCGCTGCGTAGCTCAGTCGTCAACCCAGGAGGCGTCTGCGTGACCAGTGAGGACAACAGGACCCCGTCCTCCAAGCACAAGCCCCATGCCCGACGTACTGCACAGGTAACGCAGTACCCTCTTCGCAGCATCCCAGTGCACCTTTCGGTGCCTACCGGGAGCCACGTAGCGAGCCAGAAGGCTGAGAGGGTACGCGAGGTCTGGTCGTGTGCAAGTCATCAGGTACATGAGGCAACCCACAAGCTCTGGGTACGGACCACTCGGCTCTACGGACTCGTCCGAAAGTGGAGCTGAGAGCGAGTGGCTGGTAGACAGAGGAGTGAGCTGTGGCGAGGAGTACTGGAAGCCGAAGCGCTGAAGGACCTGGTGCACCATGTGTGACTGAGTCAGTGTGATGGTGCGCCGTGCTCTGTCCCGGGTGATCTGCAGGCCAAGGTAACTGCGCAGTTCACCCAGGTCAGTGCAGGTATGTCTCTTCTGCAGCTCGGACTTCACTAGGGTCAGTGCCTCAGTGTCAGCCGTGGCAAAGACGAGGTCGTCGACGTACACTAGGACGTAGAAGGGCGGCAGCGAGGTGTCGGTGCGTAGGAACAGCGACGGGTCTGCTGTAGAAGGAACAAACCCAAGAGCCGCAAGCGTAGTCCTGAGTGTGTCGTGCCACTCGCGAGGCGCCTGGCGGAGACCGTAGACTGGCCTGCGGAGGCTCCACTGGGTACCTGTAGGAAACGACCCAGTGAAACCAGGTGGTCGGCGCAGCCAGATCTCCTCGTGCAGGCTGCCCTGCAGAAAGGCAGTACTGAAGTCCAGGGAGTGTAACTCGTAGTCACGCTGAGCAGCTACGTGCAGCAACACCCGAAGAGTAGTCATCTTCGGGGTGGGGGAGAAGGTCTGGAAGTAGTCAACTCCCTGTCGCTGACTGAAACCTCGAGCAACGTAACGCGCCTTGAAGGCAGGCGGAGAACCTGGCGGCCGCTTCACCCTGAAGATCCACATGCCATCGACTATGTTCACCCCAGGTGGGGGAACCTCGTCGACGTAAGTGCCTGTGGACTTCCAGGATGCCATCTCGGCATCCATAGCTGCCTGCCACTGAGAGGAGTAAGGACCCGTAATCGCCTCTGCGTAAGAGCGCGGGGTCGGGATGTCAGGAGCATCCGGGTCTCCCTCAGGGGCAAGCAGCAAGGAGGCGAAACGAGGTACAGCAGCTGCAAGACACTCAAAGTCCTCCTGCCTATCCTCAAGGACGTCCGTACCAAGAGCACACTCACCCCCGACGGACGGAGGACTGGCAGGCACAGACTCAGCAACTAGAGCAGAGGCGTAGTCGAGACGGCAGGCAGCAGCAAAGTCAAGTAGCTCAGCAACGAGAGCAGAAGCAGCAGCAGACTCAAAGGACGGGTCAGTGACAGCAGTGGCAAGGAGACGAGCGACAGTGGGACTGGCAGCACGCGCTCGGTCAGACTCAGGGTCAGTGACCTCAGGAAGAGAGGACTCAGGAGGAGCAGGCAGAGGAACACGCAGTGGAACAGAGGAAGGACGGAGTGCCATGGTGTGCGTGCCTGGGACAGGGGGAGGACGCGAACGAGGAGCGCGACGAGCAGTGCGAACAGGTCAGACAGGACGAGACGCAGGCTCACGACGCTCTGTAAGACCTCCGGACTGCTCAGTGTAAGGAGAGGGAACAGGCAGTGGGGAGGCTGGCTGTAACGGCGGCTGCGACTGGTCAGGCGGTGGACACAGGAAGGGAGGAGGAAGACCAGTAGAAGACGGGACACCAAGAACCTGCTCAAGCACGGGAACGAAGTACGGGCGCGGCCGCTCAGTGCCTCCAGCACCTCCAGTACCAGGATCAGCAGCTCCATCTCCTGCAGCTCCAGCGCCTCCTGCGCCAGGGCCTCCAACTCCAGCTACTCCAGCTCCAGCGCCTCCAGCGCCAGCTGCTCCAGGCTCCGTAGGGTCTCCAACTCCAGTAGTAACAGCAGCACCTCCAGCTCCAGCGCCTCCAGGCTCGCCAGCTCCGGGAGC